ATCCATCAGCTTGTATCCTTTCCTTTATTCTTTTCTTTCATCCATCCAGCTCGTATCCTTCCCTTTGTTCTTTTCTTTCATCCATCCAGCTTGTATCCTTTCCTTTATTCTTTTCTTTCATCCATCCAGCTTGTATCCTTCCCTTTATTTTTCATTTCATCCATCCAGCTTGTATCCTTCCCTTTGTTCTTTTCTTTCATCCACCCAGCTTGTATTCTTTCCTTTATTCTTTTCTTTCATCCATCCAGCTTGTATCCTTCCCTTTATTCTTTTCTTTCAACCATCCAACTTGTATCCTTTCCTTTATTCTTTTCTTTCATCCATCCAGCTCGTATCCTTCCCTTTGTCCTTTTGTTTCATCCATCCAGCTTGTATCCTTCCCTTTATCCTTTTCTTTCATCCATCCAACTTGTATCCTTCCCTTTATTCTTTTCTTTCATCCATCCAGCTTGTATCCTTCCCTTAGTTCTTTTCTTTCATCCATCCAGCTTGTATCCTTCCCTTAGTTCTTTTCTTTCATCCATTCAGCTTGTATCCTTCCCTTAGTTCTTTTCTTTCAACCATCCAGCTTGTATCCTTTCCTTTGTTCTTTTCTTTCATCCATCCAGCTTGTATCCTTCCCTTAGTTCTTTTCTTTCAACCATCCAGGTTGTATCCTTCCCTTTATCCTTTTCTTTCATCCATCCAGCTTGTATCCTTCCCTTTATCCTTTTCTTTCATCCATCCAGGTTGTATCCTTCCCTTTATCCTTTTCTTTCATCCATCCAGCTTGTATCCTTCCCTTTATCCTTTTGTTTCATCCATCCAGCTTGTATCCTTCCCTTTATCCTTTTGTTTCATCCATCCAGCTTGTATCCTTCACTTTATCCTTTTCTTTCATCCATCCAACTTGTATCCTTTCCTTTATCCTTTTCTTTCATCCATCAGCTTGTATCCTTTCCTTTATTCTTTTCTTTCATCCATCCAGCTCGTATCCTTCCCTTTGTTCTTTTCTTTCATCCATCCAGCTTGTATCCTTTCCTTTATTCTTTTCTTTCATCCATCCAGCTTGTATCCTTCCCTTTATTTTTCATTTCATCCATCCAGCTTGTATCCTTCCCTTTGTTCTTTTCTTTCATCCACCCAGCTTGTATTCTTTCCTTTATTCTTTTCTTTCATCCATCCAGCTTGTATCCTTCCCTTTATTCTTTTCTTTCAACCATCCAACTTGTATCCTTTCCTTTATTCTTTTCTTTCATCCATCCAGCTCGTATCCTTCCCTTTGTCCTTTTGTTTCATCCATCCAGCTTGTATCCTTCCCTTTATCCTTTTCTTTCATCCATCCAACTTGTATCCTTCCCTTTATTCTTTTCTTTCATCCATCCAGCTTGTATCCTTCCCTTAGTTCTTTTCTTTCATCCATCCAGCTTGTATCCTTCCCTTAGTTCTTTTCTTTCATCCATTCAGCTTGTATCCTTCCCTTAGTTCTTTTCTTTCAACCATCCAGCTTGTATCCTTTCCTTTGTTCTTTTCTTTCATCCATCCAGCTTGTATCCTTCCCTTTATCCTTTTCTTTCATCCATCCAGGTTGTATCCTTCCCTTTATCCTTTTCTTTCATCCATCCAGCTTGTATCCTTCCCTTTATCCTTTTGTTTCATCCATCCAGCTTGTATCCTTCCCTTTATCCTTTTCTTTCATCCATCCAACTTGTATCCTTTCCTTTATTCTTTTCTTTCATCCATCCAGCTCGTATCCTTCCCTTAGTTCTTTTCTTTCATCCATCCAGCTTGTATCCTTCCCTTTATTCTTTTGTTTCATCCATCCAGCTTGTATCCTTCCCTTTATCCTTTTCTTTCATCCATCCAGCCTCTATCCTTTCCTTTATCCATCTCTTTCATCCATCCAACTTGTATCCTTTCCTTTATTCTTTTCTTTCATACATCCAGCTCGTATCCTTCCCTTTGTTCTTTTCTTTCATCCATCCAGCTTGTATCCTTCCCTTTATTCTTTTCTTTCAACCATCCAGCTTGTATCCTTCCCTTTATCCTTTTCTTTCATCCATCCAACTTGTATCCTTTCCTTTATCCTTTTCTTTCATCCATCCAGCTTGAATCCTTCCCTTTATCCTTTTCTTTCATCCATCCAGCTTGTATCCTTCCCTTTATCCTTTTCTTTCATCCATCCAGCTTGTATCCTTCCCTTTATCCATTTCTTTCATCCATCCAACTTGTATCCTTTCCTTTATTCTTTTCTTTCATCCATCCAGCTCGTATCCTTCCCTTTGTTCTTTTCTTTCATCCATCCAGCTTGTATCCTTCCCTTTATTCTTTTCTTTCATCCATCCAGCTTGTATCCTTTTCTTTCATCCATCCAGCTTGTATCCTTCCCTTTATTCTTTTCTTTCAACCATCCAGCTTGTATCCTTCCCTTTATTCTTTTCTTTCAACCATCCAGCTCGTATCCTTCCCTTTATTCTTTTCTTTCATCCATCCAGCTTGTATCCTTCCCTTTATTCTTTTCTTTCATCCATCCAGCTTGTATCCTTTTCTTTCATCCATCCAGCTTGTATCCTTCCCTTTATTCTTTTCTTTCAACCATCCAGCTTGTATCCTTCCCTTTATTCTTTTCTTTCAACCATCCAGCTTGTATCCTTCCCTTTATTCTTTTCTTTCAACCATCCAGCTTGTATCCTTCCCTTTATTCTTTTCTTTCAACCATCCAGCTTGTATCCTTCCCTTTATTCTTTTCTTTCATCCATCCAGCTTGTATCCTTTTCTTTCATCCATCCAGCTTGTATCCTTCCCTTTTTTTTTTTTTCATACATCCAGCTTGTATCCTTCCCTTTATCCTTTTGTTTCATCCATCCAGCTTGTATCCTTCCCTTTATCCTTTTGTTTCATCCATCCAGCTTGTATCCTTCCCTTTATCCTTTTGTTTCATCCATCCAGCTTGTATCCTTCCCTTTTTTTCTTTTCTTTCATCCATCTAGCTTGTATCGTACCTTAAATCTTTTCCTTTATCCATTTAGTTTGTATACTGCCTTCTCTTTCCTGTATTTTCTTCCATCCAGCTTGTATCCTTCCAACTATCATTTTCTTCTTTCTGTCCAGCTTGTATTCTTCCCTCTATCCTTTCTTTTCTTCCATCCAGTTTATATCATTCCCTATAATCTTTTCTTCTCATCCATTCAGTTTGTATACCACCCTCTACCCAGGTCTAGTAATTTCTTTCATCCAGCCTGTATCCTATCTTCCAGCCAAAATGTGTCCTTCCTCTACCCTTTCCTTTTATCCACATAGTTTGTATTATTTCCTTCCTGCTGTCCTTTCCTGTCATATATCCAGCTTGTATCCTTCCCTCTATCATCTTCTATCTAGTTTGTATCCTTCCGTCTATTATGTCTTCCATCCCGCTTGTACCCTTTTTGCTTTCCTGTAATTTTTTCTGTCTGGCTTGTATCCTTTCCTCTTCTTTTTTTCTATCTTCCATCCAGCATGTATCTATTCTGTTATTCTTTCCTTTCTTCTATCCAGTTTGTAGCCTCCCCTCAATTGTATCTTTATTTTAGCTTTTACACTTTCTGTTATCCTTTCCTTTCTTTGATCCAGCCTTCATAGTTAAATCTGATTGTGCAAACTGAATGTCACACATGAATATTTAAATAAAATCATCAAAACCCAAACAATAATTTCATACCACAGTGACTCTAGATGTATAAAAATTCAGTAAAAAAAAAAAAATTTATCATGTAATAAATGAATCATAAGTATTTTTCTTTTAAAGGTAAGAAAGAGAGTTCTTTACAGCATATGGAAGTGAATTACTGACAGACAAATGTTGAGAAATTGTGACGTGCGTAGAAGTCTGCATTGTGAAGTGCTGTTAAGTGACTAGGGGTGTCGCAATGTAACAAATGGCATCAACACTTAACATGCCACTGGCCAAGAGTAACACAACATAATGAATGCTGAAGCTTCCAACGTAGCGGAACAAGAACTCTTTAAAAGTTCCATTTGTGTATTGACAAATGCAATGATCAACACAAAGAATACATATGCAGGTAATAATCAACTCGTTCAACCAAAGCTCACTCGTACATCCATGTATTGATATGTCCTCACGATAGGTCGCAGTCCGACCTTGAGATCCAGACGATTATCTTTGTCCTCGGACAAGTCCGAATTAAGCAATGAAAGTATACCGGCTTACTGCCGAAATGCAACGTTCACCAGCTTCCTGCTGAGGTCTATCTTGGAATCCCGGGGTAAAACGTCCTCAAGGATCCAACTTCATATAACGTTTGCTTCCGTGGGATCCCGGGGTAAAACGTCCTCAAGGATCCACACGTCCGTCTCCTTCGGACTATAAACATCAACTGCAAAGTATACCGGCTTACTGCCGAACTGTGGCATCCCGGGGTAAAGCATCCTCAAGGATCCACCGTGGCATCCCGGGGTAAAGCATCCTCAAGGATCCACACCAGGGCCGGACCACCGTCCGCCTTGGTCAAACTTCGACTTACATCTCCTAGAATACAATTCCTTCACAACGTTATGTATTGTTTTGACATCTTATTTGCTCACTCCGTACCGGTGCGTTCTAGTGCACATTCGCACGCGACAGAAATCATGTGTAATCTTCAGACATATAGTTTTCTAGAAGAATGTTGAGGACAATGTGGACAGATACAAGATTAATGAAACTGTCTTGAAAAACTTTAACCTACAAGTGGAACTGATTACCAGCATTAACCATAAATCTAAAATACTTATGTGTTCTGTTATCAGACAGAATACCTCAAATTGTCTGTTTCAATTTCTAGTATGTTATTTACCTTGGCTTTTGTTTAATTCCATAATGCCATTCATTCACTCACTTGTTCACTCGCACTCACTCACTTGTTCACTCTGATGCACTCACTCACTCACTCACTCTGATGCACTCTTCTCTTTCTCGTCATCCATTCCAGTGGTGAGATCTGTCTGTCTAATTATGTCGTCATAGTGGCGACATCGTCATCATGCCAGCACCTGGTAGTGGATTTTGCTTAGGTCTCAGGATGGATGGCAATGACAACATTGCCCCTGCAACCGTTTCCACACTCCCTCTTCACTCAGGTAGAGCCAGGGTAAGTCTTAGTTTACATTTTTTTTTTTCTAATGCTACCCTCTGTCTCACCTTGTTGTTTCAAGCTTTTCGTAGACATGTGTTTTCTCCTTCTGTTCCTTGTCTTCTCCTTTTTTTCCTCATTTTCTTCCTCCTTCTTCTTTCTCCTTCTTCTTTCTGCTTCTTCTTCCTTCTTCCTCCTCCTCCTCCTTCTTCTTCCTTCTTCCTCCTCCTCCTTCTTCTTCTTCTTCCTCCTTCTTCCTCCTCCTCCTTCTTCTTCCTCCTTCTTCCTCCTCCTCCTTCTTCTTCCTCCTTCTTCTTTCTCCTTCTTCTTTCTGCTTCTTCTTCCTTCTTCCTCCTCCTCCTTCTTCTTCTTCCTTCTTCCTCCTCCTTCTTCTTCCTCCTTCTTCTTCCTCCTCCTCCTTCTTCTTCCTTCTTCTTCCTCCTCCTCCTTCTTCTTCCTTCTTCTTCCTCCTCCTCCTTCTTCTTCCTCCTTCTTCCTCCTCCTCCTTATTCTTCCTCCTTCTTCCTCCTCCTCCTTCTTCTTCCTCCTCCTCCTTCTTCTTCCTCCTTCTTCCTCCTCCTCCTCCTTCTTCCTCCTCCTCCTCCTTCCTCCTCCTCCTCCTCCTTCTTCTTTCTCCTTTTTCTTTCTGCTTCTTCTTCCTTCTTCCTCCTCCTCCTCTTTCTTCCTCCTTCTTCTTTTCTCCTTCTTCTTTCTGCTTCTTCTTCCTTCTTCCTCCTCCTCCTTCTTCCTCCTTCTCCTTCTTCTTCCTCCTCCTCCTTCTTCTTCCTCCTCCTCCTCCTTCTTCTTTCTCCGTTTTCTTTCTGCTTCTTCTTCATTCTTCCTCCTCCTCCTCTTTCTTCCTCCTCCTTCTTCTTTCTCCTTCTTCTTTCTGCTTCTTCTTCCTTCTTCCTCCTTCTTCCTCCTCCTCCTCCTTCTTCCTCCTCCTCCTCCTTCTTCCTCCTCCTCCTTCTTCTTCCTCCTTCTTCCTCCTCCTCCTTCTTCTTCCTCCTTCTTCTTCCTCCTCCTCCTCCTTCTTCCTCCTCCTCCTTCTTCTTCCTCCTTCTTCCTCCTCCTCCTTCTTCCTGCTCCTTACTCCTCCTCCTTCCTGCTTTCTTCTTCTTCTTGTTCTCCTGCTGCAAGAAAATAGCCAATCTGTCTGTTAGTTCATTTACAAAAACAGCACTGTTTGTGAGAAATGAAGACATTAGAACTATTGGAACAACACTCAGCATTACATGTATAGAGACACAAAGACAGCATGGTTTAGCCACCTGATGACATGAATCCAGAAAGCCAACACTGAGAGTGTACAACATATACATGGAAATACAAAAAAGGGGAGACCTAGAAGAATATGACACTGACAGCCTGAGACTTTACATCATCACAGTATACCAAGTCGGCTACCTATCTTCTGTTAAACTGTGATGTCAAATTGCACAAAGCAGATACTGTCAAAAAAAGAAAGAAATGTTGACTTCTACCTCATTGTTTGTTCCATCCTCTAGACATGGCAGCGACATTCAGCTGTCCCTGTTAGAAACGGGGTCAAGTCCGTACACCTGGACAATGACAAAGGGGGCGGCACTACTGGAGAGTTCAGCTCTCATGACATTACAGGTACTGTACACATTAAGGCAAATAACGCAAAGCCTCTCCAGAATCAACCTCTGACCTTAGCCATGGAGCCAGGCCCCGTTATAAAAATGGGCACAGGGGCGTTGGTTCAGCGAAAAGGAGGTCCGTCGAGAGGTAAGATGTTCGTGATTAGATAGTAACTCAACACCAAGCAGGTGTTCCTTTAACCCTTTCAACCCGGGAAGCCAAAAACAAACACTTCAAGTTGAGTCCCATTCCCTGCAAATGTCACTTTTCCGACTTTTTATATAGTTGACCTGTTTACAAAACAACTAGTTAATGCTGTTGTTTGTTTTTGCACCTTGGCAAACATTTAGGAGATTCAGGATTTAAAAAAATTAACTGTCAGTAGCATTTAGGGTGTTTTTTTATGGAGCTAAATGATGTTTTTTGAAAACCAAGTTGTCATCAGAGTTCTCCTGTAAGACTCAGTGATGGATGTCACCCGGTCATGGCCTGATTCACCTGATACATGTTTTTGAATGCCTTGGCAGATGTATTACATTTAATACTTCAACCTATTCATGTTTGTTGATTAACCATTTTATATATTTTGAAGAAATATTTAATGCTGTAAATAATGTTTTAACAAATTTATTAGTGACCTGTGTACATTTTTTTTTAAATGTATTTTTTTCTGGAAATATAAGAGGGTCATGACCTTTTTATTTTAGTTCCAGGTGGTGAAAGGGTTAACTCAGTCTATCGAATGTTGTTACTTAAAAGAGTGAAGGTTTGAGTCTTGGGAGTTCAAATAATAGCATGACTGTGTGATTGAAGCAGTTTAATAATTGGTAGAGAATGGGTTAGCATAATGACTGGGTAGGTCACACACAGTTAAAAGTAACAATTGGGACAGAGTTGGTGTGCATAATGATTGGAACGCTCATACACAGTTCAAAGTAAAAATTAAGGAAGAAGTGGGTATATCATAATTATAAAATATTTAAAAAACACACCGAATGTTTACTTTCAGTTGAAACTTACAGACGTGTGGTGAGTTGTTTAGTTCTGGGACTCTTATGTGAGGGGAAACAAAAAAAAGAATAGACCCACTGCCTCCTTAAAAAATATGTCATAAAAGTGAATTAATTAAGGGTTCCTTTGATGTATAAGTACATTGGCTTGAGAGGCGAGGAACCAACAGTCTGCATACAAATAAGCTAGATCTGTAAAACAGACCTAAGTTCTGGAACAAGACTAAATTCCAGAAGTGGTTGAACAACCAGAACTATCCTCTGAAATTTACAACCAGAGAAGAAGAAGAGTTTTGTTCTGAATGAGGTCAACATGTAAGAGACATTATACACCTCATCATCATCGTTGTCACCAGCCTTATCACTGTTATCATTAAGCATACCCTTGTCCCAGTGTGACCCATTTGTAAGACCCAGTGTCCCATTCTGAACCAGTGGTAAGACCTAGTGTCCCACTCATATGTGTCTCAGTTGGTGCTAGAACAGAAGCTTTTAGCCTGGCAGATTAGCATCTAATTGCGGCTCAACTATATCTCTACTTCCTCATGATAACAAAAGAATTAAGATAAAATTGTTATAATACAAAATAAAGTGGATCAGCTTAATTGCACTGGGTTTAATCCCATGTGGCTTGGTCTCTCTCTGCAGAGCGGCCAACCATCTGCTGAAAGTGTTGCAAAATGCACAAACTTTATAGCTCAGATGAGGGTCTTAGGGATCTTCGTAAAAATTGCACCTGTGAACTGACCAATGCAGACATGAATGGAACTCTTGATATTCAGAGCGTGAAGCGAACGGCCAGATCTGTGAAAGGGATGTGCATGCTGTACTTACATTCTGGAACAAGACTCAAGTCCAGAAGTGGAAGAACAACCAGAACTTTGTGGCAGAGTCAGCAAAAAAACAAATGACATCCTGTAGAAAAATTTGGCCGCAAAATTAACTAATTAAGAAGTCTGCACAGGATTGGTTAGATAGTTGAAGGCTAATTCTTCACTGTTGAAAGTGGAAATAGATACTTTCCTGTCATCTTTCCTTAATCTGTAAACCATAAATTCTGTCTTTCAATTTGCCTGTTTGAATACTTTCTTTTTTGTGTAATTAATTTGCTAACATCGTTATGTATTAAATTTTTAGGGGACACAAATAATAGAAAGGAAGTATCGCCTAAGCAAGAGTTAAAGTCCCCAATCTCTTCTCTGGCAAGGGAGCAAGCGGTGGCAGTAGGGTCAATCTCTGAGAGTCATGGGAAGAGTGAGACCTCTTACATCCAGCCCAAATTGAAAAACCTTCATAGTTCTTCGGACATTGCCTCGAAACATGTCGATACTACGCTGGAATCTAGGGTCCATGGGGAGCATGGGGGTACTGTAGCTGCAGGTGACAGAACTGGCAAGAAACAGAATGCATCTAGAAGCCCACGTTTAGCTCGGAAAGCGGTATCTGGTGTGAAATACAACAATTTGCCAGTTGTTTTCAAGAAACCTTCAACTTCGTCCTCGTCCTCATCATCATCCTATGAGGCATATAGCCCTAAACGAATGAAACCTGGCCGAGAGGAAGATTCCAAACACTTTGACAGAATAAAATTTACCAGTCAGTATAAAATAAGTGAAGATGGGGGACCTGCTGGCATGTCCTTTCTGTCCAACAATATTCTTGCAAAGCTTGATAAGACTAGTTCTTCAGCCCACCTTCATCTGACTTCCTGGAAAGACCTTTCTCCAACAGAGTCCAAAACGGACGATGCTTCTCATGATCCAAACAATAGACGTTCTCGGCCGGAAAGTGGATATTTCTCCAACGAAGTCCACAGTGAGTCTCGGGAAGGGATGGATGGCTCAATGTCTGAGGAAAGTGATCATGCTGGAACTATCAAGCACCGACCAAAGAAAAAGGCTGATGAGAAACTTGAGACAGAGACTAAGATGATTGAGGATAAAGGCGGAGGAGATAATATAGTCAGGGACACTCAGGTCCTTGATGATCAAAAGAGTCGTCAGCAGATGCCTGTGCAGATTCCCAAATCTTCCAGAAGTTTGTGTTCCCAGAAGAGCTATAGTATGCCAGTGTCTGAGTTTGGCAGTGCAAGACCTCCTGATCCTCACACAAAACAAACAACACTTAGTGAAGCACCAACTGTGGCTCTCGTAACAGACTCCCCAAAGTCCTCACCAAAATTTGGGCTTCTGACCAGGAGGGAGTTTCACTCAGCCAAAGCTGAGAACTCTGAGTGGGTGGATAGAAAAGATCTGAGTTCTTTCACCAGTATGGACAACAGTGATAGTATGGAGCACAGTCAGGAGCAGCCGGCCTCCCAGGATGATGGCTCTTCTAATGGGTACTTCTTTGATGAGGATTTCATTGTCCAGGTGGACGACAAGCTGCACACTTCTATCGGAGTTATTCTTCAAGGCTCATGTGCATTCAGTCTGGCTGACTCCTTGGCTCCAGGTGAGAAATGTTTGTATACACTCTTGTTCGTGTATGTGTTTATTTTGGTGAAGGAAAGGGTATGGAAGAGAGATGTAAAAAAAAAAAAAAAAAGAGATTGTGAATTAAGTAAAATGCATGTGTGCATGCAAGAAATATTAGACAGATAGTGGAAAGCATTTAAATGAGAACAGCATCTTTAAAAAAAAGCATTAGATAAATAGTTTCATGTTCTACATTTTGTCTCCTGAAAGAGCGTGCAGACTGTTAATTTTCTGTTGTCCAGAGAGTACCACAAAACAGCTGCCTTTTCTGAGTTGATGACAGCACCCATTTCTGCACACCAGTCAGTCACTTTGTCTACAGTTGCCTGCAGCCCTTCAGATATCTGTTGTCTATCATTCCCTTACCTATATGCAAGAACATCATCAGCAAATGCCAGTATCCTTCCAACACCTGGTGCTTCAAGTTCTGCAATCTTGCTTGTATACACATTAAAGAGCACTGGTGAAATTGCAGAACCCTGGGGTAGTCCCAGGGCTATATTACATGGTTCTGAGGTCCATATACCCAGGCGAAGGGCAACCATAGGTGAATGCAGGACAGCTGCTCTCCAGTTCACCAGCCAGGGACAGACCCCCTTCTCCATGAGTGCAGGTATCAAAATATCATATCTGACTATTGTAGGCATCCTCAAGATCAAGTTCTGCCACAACTGACTTCTGTCTGTTCTGAAACCCTTCATAAATATCAAAAGCAAATGTAGCTGCTTTAGACCATGTATCTTTCCGTGGCCGGTAACTACCCAAACCTTTTGGCAGCAGCTCTTCCCTTTCCAAAAACTTTTGTAGTTTAACAGCAATAATCTTCTCTAGCACCTTGCTAAAAGTATTTTGTAGGGTGATAATCCTGAAACCGCTGAGTCTGGAATGACCTTTGCCTGGTTTTGGAAGGGGGATCAGGTAGCTGCCTATCCACTCCTGGGGTACTGACGCTGTTCTGACACTTAGCTGAAGTGACATGCCATCTCCCTCCAGTCTTCATCACTCATGCTCTTCATGTGGGCATACCTGACTCCATCTGGACCCGGCACAGTGTCTTTTGCTTTTTGCAATATATATTTTTTATCCTCCACCCTAATAATATCTTCAAAATAATTCACATTTACAGTAGTAGACAGATTATCTCTAACTGAATTTCTAAGCTCCCTATCATTATGATCAGTTTGGGCTATAAATCTCTTCAAAAATGCTTCCCCTTTCTTTCTCTTTGTCTATTGTCATTGGCATATCATTATCAGTGTATATAAACCCTGTTGTGATAGGCCGATGCTTCCTTCGCATCTGTCTGTGCAGTTTCCAAAACCTACCTAGTGATTTATCCCCTCCAGTTTCGCTCATAAAGTGTTCCCATTTAGCCTTTTTTGCATCTGCTGCACAACGTTTGAACTCTTCTTATTTTTCTTTTCTAACTTTTTCTAGCTTCTCTACATCCTCTTGTAGCCTGTGAGGTGCTTTTCTTAATTTTTGTAATTGTTTAACTGCTGCTCGCTTTGCTGTCCATGTCTGTTCTACTTCTTGGGTCTACAATGGCGTCTGCGCAAAAGTAGAGGTGGTAGTTCTGCTGCCTACCTTATGTCGAAGGCGTCCAAGAAGGGTACTGGCCCTCTCATACTTAAAAGTCTTGCGCTTTCTCACAGCCCTGACCTTGCTAGCTTTAGAAATCAAGACTGAGCATAGCATATGGTCACTCCCATGATCGCCTAGGATTTTGTGTCCAGCACTGCTGACTGGGTAACAAATGCCAAATCAATAGCTGTATCTGCATCACCAAGTCTCATTGCCATTTTAGTTGGCTTACCATCCTTTATACAAACTGCATTCACCATAGCCTCTGCTAAATCATTTCCTTGTCTATTTTCCCTTGTCTGTTTTGTCTACTGTCCCATGATCTGTTCCGCGCACTGAAATCCCCAAAGATGAGAAACCTATTACCAGGGATTTCCTCCCAACTCTTTGAGCCAGTCCCAATGTTCCTTTGTGACAAGAGAGTCTGCTACAGAGAGTCTGCTAGACAAAAGAGTCTGCTACAGATAGTCAACCACAGCGTTAACATTCACTATATTCCAGGTTGTGCCCCCATGATCTATCTGTATACCCTGAACCACTAGTGTACTATGATTCCACAGTCCCATGTCAAGAACCACATGCTTTACCACATTCTTCACCAGTAGACATTGCCCATACCTTCCCTGTCCGGTATAACTCATGTATCCAGGACACTCATATCTATCTATGTTTAATTCCTGCAGCATGATGATATCAAAGTCATCAATCAGTCTCTCCAGTACAGGTCCTCTCTGCTTGGCGCTACGACAATTCTAGTAACCCACTCTAAAATGCTTTAATCCTAGACGCTCCGTTTTTCACCTGACTCTCTGGGCTCCGGCTCTCCGATTCCTATGCCATCTTTTCACTCAATTTCCTTGTCTTCTCCTCTTCCCACTCTCTCCTTGCCAACTGAAGATTGTGTCAAGCCCAGAGCACACACTCCCTAGCTCTGGCGAGAATTTTTTTTATTATTAAGTACAAAATCCATAGAGAATATTCTTTCAATGCAGGAAGTAAACGGTCACCCTAGTATTGCCTGCTTGCTAGGGAAGAGGCAGGGGATGTCCTAAAGGAGTCCATACACCTGTTCCACGTTCACGACTGTATATCCTGCAGTCATTCAGAAAATAAGCACGTAGGTACACTGAAGGCTAAGAGTTTTTTATTGAGGTTGTCTCCTCTAGATCCGTTGTGTTTTGTGCCTCTTGGGTCACGCACAACAGTCTTGACTGTAAAAGGATTTTCCTGATCAAGGGATTAACCAAGCTCTCAAAGCAGAACAGCTGGTGTGCTCCACTGCACGAGAGATTGCACATTTACAGCCCTGGATCTCTCTGATCCTTGTGTATTCCGGTGCACAGTAAAATCAGACTCATGAGACTGTGATGCTGTGTCTAGATTACAATGAACATTTAAAGAAGGAATATGTTTGGTTAGTTCTACTCAGATCTGGTAACAGACATTGACTGTGCCATGTCTTCTTGCAGGTTTTCATATGCAGGGGCCTCATGAAAACATTGCTGGCAAACAGCCTTTGCTGCCTCACTCCTTGAATGAAAGTTGCTCTGAGTTTGGAAACCTCAGGGACTCATTCTTACAGGTATGTGTTGGGATAGTTTATATAGCAGTCACCTGGTGCTCTTAGAGTTTATATAGTAGTCACCTAATGCTCTTAGAGTTTATATAGTAGTCACCTGGTGCTCTTAGAGTTTATATAGTAGTCACCTAGTGCTCTTAGAGTTTATATAGTAGTCACCTAGTGCTCTTAGTTTATATAGTAGTCACCTGGTGCTCTTAGAGTTTATATAGTAGTCACCTGGTGCTCTTAGAGTTTATATAGTAGTCACCTGGTGCTCTTAGAGTTTATATAGTAGTCACCTAGTGCTCTTAGAGTTTATATAGTAGTCACCTAGTTCTCTTAGAGTTTGTATAGTAGTCACCTAGTGCTCTTAGAATTTATATAGTAGTCACCTAGTGCTCTTAGAGTTTATATAACAGTTACCTAGGGCTTTTAGATTTTAAATGAATGGCAGTTATCTGGAACTACAAGAGCAAAAGTAGCTGTTACCTGGGACTGAAAGAGATCAAGAAGCAGTTGCCTGTGACTAAAAGAGGTAAAGCAGTAGTTACCTGTGACTAAAAGAGATCAAGTAGCAGTTACCTTCGACTAAGAGAGATCAAGTAGCAGTTAACTGGCACTAAAAGAGATCAAGTAGCCGTTACCTGGGACTAAAAGAGATCAAGTAATAATAAAATACAACCAACGTGTTTCCATGTTAATCAGTTGTTCTGCGAAAAAACTATAATGGCTGGGGCATATTGAGAGAATATCAGATGAAAAGAGGTCAAAACTGTACACAAGGGAGCTGAATGGTCGTAGACTATGAGGAAGATCAAGAAGACCATGGAGAGATAATATCCAGGTATACCTTTAAACACTTGGTGTCATCAACTTGAAAGAGAAGGCCAGCCAGAGAGAGGAGTGGAAGTAGGTTATATCTGCAGCAGTGAATCTCAAAGGCTTGGAATGCTGAAGAAGAATATGAAGAACAACATGAAGAACAACCTGAAGAACAACATGAAGAACATGTTTTTTTTAAGTGAGTTATGTTAACAAGGTTTTACTGTGTCTTTTAATATGGTCAGAATATTTCACTTCTCTGTGTTTTTTAAATTGTTTTCAGAATCTATCTTTTCATTCCTAGTTCAGAACATCTTTATTTAATTGTTTCTGTTTCCATGAATATCCACCATGAGTCGCATACTTGACTGTATTGCTTGTTCGGCAGCTCCTGGCTGTTCATTAACAAATTGTGAAATATTTTCTTCAGAATGAAGATCTCTACTCCGGTCCCTGTGAGTCAGAAGTGTCCGGTTCTGGCAGCCGGACATCTATGGATGTGTCATCTTCAGAGAGGGAGATGATGTGTTCCAGCGACATGCTTGACATCGCTGGCAATGATCCTTTGTTTACACCACCTGTAATTACCTCACAGGTGAGACAGGTTTTTTTGTTTTTGTTTGATGATATTGAGGTGAGAGCTTATATTTATAATATCATGACAAGATATCAAACTGAATGAAAATTAGAACTATTTGCTTTGCATTTGTACAATCACAAACAACAAGTGAACTTCAGAGGGTAGAAATCTTTTATCAGCCATGATATCAATAGATAGTGTTAAATTTGCAAACAGGAATACACAAAATTAGGTATATTATTATATTTATTATCCATTCATCACATTATTATGATTATTATTACTGTTCATCATCCCTTTGAGTGATGTAATTGCGCTGTGACTGTTTGCAGCATAGCTGCTGTATTTGTGCCTTTTAACCTACACATTCAACTCCATCTGGCATTTGTTCACTGGATAAGCTTTCCCTCTTGTTGTTGTTATAGTTGTTGTTGCTGCTGCTGCTATTGTTATTATCATCAATGTGTTGAATGGGGGGCAGGCTGTGCTTGACACACTAAAAATCTTTTTTGGTGGGCTCAGGAGACCTAAGCTCCCAGATTCTGGTGCCTATGCACAGGATTGGTGACAGTTTATGTATTGATTGTATAATTCATTCACAGGATTGGTGACAGTTTATGTATTGATTGTATAATTCATTCACAGGATTGGTGACAGTTTATGTATTGATTGTATAATTCATTCACAGGATTGGTGACATTTTATGTATTGATTGTATAATTCATTCACAGGATTGGTGACAGTTTATGTATTGATTGTATAATTCATTCACAGGATTGGTGACAGTTTATGTATTGATTGTATAATTCATTCACAGGATTGGTGACAGTTTATGTAATGATTGTATAATTCATTCACAGGATTGGTGACATTTTATGTATTGATTGTATAATTCATTCACAGGATTGGTGACATTTTATGTATTGATTGTATAATTCATTCACAGGATTGGTGACAGTTTATGTATTGATTGTATAATTGATTCACAGGATTTGTGACAGTTTATGTATTGATTGTATAATTCATTCACAGGATTGGTGACAGTTTATGTATTGATTGTATAATTCATTCACAGGATTGGTGACAGTTTATGTATTGATTGTATAATTCATTCACAGGATTGGTGACAGTTTATGTATTGATTGTATAATTGATTCACAGGATTTGTGACAGTTTATGTATTGATTGTATAATTCATTCACAGGATTGGTGACAGTTTATGTATTGATTGTATAATTCATTCACAGGATTGGTGACAGTTTATGTATTGATTGTATAATTCATTCACAGGACTGGTGACAGTTTTTGTATCGATTGTATAATTCATTCACAGGATTGGTGACAGTTTACATATACGTTTATTGTCACGACACAGAGGGTAGTCACAATCCTTCACACATACAATTCAAGCAAAGTGATGTGGACATCTTTCCTGGCTAATACGTTATCCTAGCTCCTCCTTTCACTCGCTTCCCACGTATAGCGTCGCTCTCTCAGACAGCTTGCACTCGCTGCCACTACATACGAGCTGACCGCTACATTTCATAGGTGTACAGCGTCCTGCACTCCGGGCTCACTCGCTGTACAGATGGACAGGAAATCTCTCCTATCAACTGGACCTCTGCTCTACACTGAGCAGAAACATCGGCTGACTGGAAACGGACTCAACAACACCCGTTCTCTAGCATGTGCACACCGCACATCAGCCCTTCAAAGAATTCCAATGACCGACAGGACTCCTAGCTCTAGTCCCCTTTAGCAAACAGCTATCACCGTCATCCCCGCTGTCTTGTGTTCACTAGTGAGCTTACGCCTCCTGCGTCGTCACCCAAAACAGCTACTCTTGGGTGTCCAGTCCTCGTGGCCTGACTCTGCCGCCTGGACTCTCTTTGACTGCACCGCGACCGAGACTCTTTGCGCTCAGACCTCACTGTCTGACTTGTACTGTGATACTCTGTCTGTCCCAGCCCACACAACCCCAGTAAATACCCTTGCCTGCCCCTTGTGGGCGGCTTGGCCCCACGAGAAGCATGCTAGCATGCATTCTGTCCTTCAGTGCATCAGCGGCTGTCTCGTACAAATCAATGCTAGTTAGCCCACGCGGCTACTACCCTGGGCCTCTCAGGTCCATCCCGTGTCAAGTCCCTTTACACTTGTCAAAATATTGACTCAACCGACAAATATTTCCTGGCTTGAGTAAACAGTGGGTACCATATTGACACAGGTAACCGAACATTCTCATGGACTCCCGACAACACCATTCCCACTGTGTTGTCCTACCCCAAGGTTACAACTACCATGAATCAGCACGCAACAGGCTGTAACATTGACTTTATTGGTCATAACAACAGAACAACTACAGAGGTCGTTCCATCCAGTGTTTGTTAGATTGTGCCACTTGCTGTATCAATGCACCAGGGGCTTACTTTGAATAAAATATAGGTTATTTTTTCAACTGTTGATTATTTTAATTTTCATGGAATTAGTCTCATTACTTAATTGTTGGACCTTGTATGTAGTGATTGTATAACTAATTCACATGATCACATCATTGGTGAGAATTTATATAGTGATTGTATAATTCATTCACCAGTTTGGTTAGAGCTGATTGTGTTGCACTAGTGGCCAGAAGTTTAAGACGACAAGGTTATTTAAAAAAAAAAAAAATTGAACGCCTCCCATAAATTGCTATGGAGTATTGTAACAACTGAAGTATTATAGCCCACTAAACAATAATCATTGTAGTCATCATCCTTCCCTAAACTAGCCGTTGGTGCAATACTCAATACTAGTTTTAAAATATAAGTTATTAACTAGGCGGTCTTATACTTGTGGTCACCACTGTATTTCATCCCAGCAATTTTCATGTCTTATATGATGATTGTATTATTCATTCACAGGACCAGATCTTATCTACAGACAGTCTATCCCGACATCTGGAGAGTACAGACGCTGAAATAACAGCCACAACCAGTCTCAGTGGAAGTCGTTCATCGGCCACAACCGCGGACATCACCGTGAAATGTGAACCACACAAAGATGCTTACTTTCTCTCCTTTGACGGAGGCTCACAAGGTACAGTGTTCATGTCGTGTTTTTTTTTTTAATTGTTGAAGAAGGAGCATCTGGCTGAGGAATTAGAATACTGAGCTTTCACTTTGAAAGGCCTAGGTTCAAATCCTTGGTAAGGTGTCAACAAATTTGTTATTTTTGGAGGAAAAGGTAAACATTCTGTACAAAAAAAAAAAAAAAAAAATAAATGTTGACCAGCACAGTTTGTTGCCACAACACTAGCTAGGGGCTCTAACTCTGTAAGCTCGAGATCCTCCTGTCCTTACTGCCAAAAACTGCCATTTCAGCTTGTTATCACTACTCTTTGTGGTGCAAGCAGGAGGCTCTTTACTTTCTTGGCCTTAACCTGATACCCATTTAAGGCTGGATTGACCTGGGAGCTATAGTTATGTTTGCAAAACCCAGATTCATAACTTTTGTATTCACAGGTGAGCATCTAACCGCCACACTGCAACAGTTCCCACAAGCCATTTGACTTGAAAATGTTTGTCTTGTGTATTCTCTAGTTGCAGCCTGCTGTTTTTGTGCAAAGAAATTATAAAAATTTTGTTTGTCAGGGGAAGAAAACAACTTCTGAACACATATCAGAAAGAGAAAATCTCCATTTACTGTGGTCATACTGTGAGAAGGGTTTAAACTGTGCAGTATGCCATGACAGTGGGAAAAATTGGAGGGCAAGAGGGGCAGAGAAGACTAAGAAAACAGATGCTGGATAGTATGGCTGGGAGGCATGAAGAAATATGTATATCAGACATGTTTGACAATAACGGAGATGGAAGGTTGAGGATAATCATGATATACAACACTGTACAGTATGGGAGACAGAAGGTTGAGGATAATCATGATATACAACACTGTACAGTATGGGAGACAGAAGGTTGAGGATAATCATGATATACAACACTGTACAGTATGGGAGACAGAAGGTTGAGGATAATCATGATATACAACACTGTACAGTATGGGAGACAGAAGGTTGAGGATAATCATGATATACAACACTGTACAGTATGGGAGACAGAAGGTTGAGGATAATCATGATATACAACACTGTACAGTATGGGAGACAGAAGGTTGAGGATAATCATGATATACAACACTGTACAGTATGGGAGACAGAAGGTTGAGGATAATCATGATATACAACACTGTACAGTATGGGAGACAGAAGGTTGAGGATAATCATGATATACAACACTGTACAGTATGGGAGACAAAAGGTTGAGGATAATCATGATATACAACACTGTACAGTATGGGAGACAGAAGGTTGAGGATAATCATGATATACAACACTGTACAGTATGGGAGACAGAAGGTTGAGGATAATCATGATATACAACACTGTACAGTATGGGAGACAGAAGGTTGAGGATAATCATGATATACAACACTGTACAGTATGGGAGACAGAAGGTTGAGGATAATCATGATATACAACACTGTACAGTATGGGAGACAGAAGGTTGAGGATAATCATGATATACAACACTGTACAGTATGGGAGACAGAAGGTTGAGGATAATCATGATATACAACACTGTACAGTATGGGAGACAGAAGGTTGAGGATAATCATGATATACAACACTGTACAGTATGGGAGACAGAAGGTTGAGGATAATCATGATATACAACACTGTACAGTATGGGAGACAGAAGGTTGAGGATAATCATGATATACAACACTACAGTATGGGAGACAGAAGGTTGAGGATAATCATGATATACAACACTGTACAGTATGGGAGACAGAAGGTTGAGGATAATCATGATATACAACACTGTACAGTATGGGAGACAGAAGGTTGAGGATAATCATGATATACAACACTGTACAGTATGGGAGACAGAAGGTTGAGGATAATTATGATATACAACACTGTACAGTATGGGAGACAGAAGGTTGAGGATAATCATGATATACAACACTGTACAGTATGGGAGACAGAAGGTTGGGGACAATCATGATATACAACACTGTACAGTATGGGAGACAGAAGGTTGAGGATAATCATGATATACAACACTGTACAGTATGGAATATCAGAAGGACTAGATCCTCTGCTTTGTGTTTTTTTTTTGGTTAACTTCCTACAGTCAATGCTGTATGGCCTTAGTTATGAGTCCTGTTTGTGCATTTGTGTCATTTCTGACACAGTTGGTCTTCCATTACATGATGCCATACTGTTAAGATTCAAAATTGTGTACCCATATCATGCTTGTGTAGTTTAGTGAACATCCCTTCTTATTCTTCTTTTACTAATGTATGTGATTGACCATCTTACTTTCAGGCAAGTTTTCTACAACTGAAAGCGAATCCTCGTATGTTTCCCAGGCATCTTCACAAGCTGATAAATTAGGTAATTTGACGGCAGTTTTTAGGGCTCTTTTTGTAGATAATGTTTATGGGCACTTAAATAGGCAGATTTAAAGTTGGTGGATTGGAACAAAAATACTCTTATTTGTTTTCCATATTCTTCCTCTAGGCATTAGTTGTGCTACTGCACAAGGCAAAGATGATCTCTCACCTGTGGGCTGAGGTAACCAGTAAAATGAAAGATATTGAGAACCTGCACCTGGAGAGAATATTGTAGCGAAGAGTGTCTGCGAGCTCTGGGTGCCGGGGGTTGGCGGAAAGGGGGGGGAGGGGATACTTGACCAGCAGGTACCATCAGTTTTGAGACTATTGGATGACTGTTGAGGAGGGAGATAGAGTAAGATGGGCTTGCTGTGATGGGAAATCTTGACCTGGATGAATCTTTGGGCATCAGCTGAGTCCTTCTGAGACTGACAGATGCTGACACTTTTCTGCTGAACATGCCGGAGCTGTAGGAGCCACAGTGGGACAGTGGCTAGAAACTTGCCTGCTCTAGTTTAAAGGTCTTGGGCTTAAATACGTAATAAGGCTTATTTTCATAAATGAACTTGGCTCCTAAAATGAGTACCAGGAAACCTTTGGGAAGTAAAGGTGACCAGCATGATGTGGCTTATATCATGCATCTTCAAGTGCTAATTGGTCTGTAGAAAGCTGGATCTTTCCTGATGCTCAGAGTGTAAAAAGTCCTTGTTTAAATTAGGAAGGCTTACCATATCTTGCCGAGGATCATCTGGCCGAATTTATGGCTGGGTTGTCCTGCGGGAGATCTGAGTTCAAATCCTTAATAAGTTTATGGTAGTTTCTTCTCTCAGGGGCAGAAATCAGCATCTTAACCTGCACAGGTCATGGCGACGGCCCTACCCAAGCGGCTCTAAATTCTGAGGCTCAAGACTGCCCTGTCCTGTGTCTCCTACAAAAATGGAACAAAAGGCAGCGGTTTTTTTTTTTTACTTTGTCTTATCTTTTGCTTAAATTTTTAAAATTATCCTATAATTTTTTTAATCTATGTACTTTCTTCTCATCTTTTCGTCTTATTTTCTCTGTTCCTTATTTCTTCTTATCTTCTCTGCTTATCTGTACTTCCTTATCCCTTTTCAGGGAGCCACTCTGTCAGCTCTGGAGCAGACGCAGAGGATGAGCACTCTAGCAGTTTCCAGTTTGCCAATGTCCCACCCAGAGCAGCAGCTGCTTCCTCAGTGGCTAGCAGCGCCGACAGCTGCACAGCTGCTGCCATCAACGAGGATCAGGGCGATGTCAAGGGGCGTAACTGTTTCTACACCTGGAACATGAAGGGGAGTCGGTATCCAGGCAGGATTTGTTTGGAGGCCCTTCAGGTTTGTGTTTATTTTGTAAATACATTTGAACTAGGGCTGTACCAAATAGTGATTTTCACTATTCGGCCGAATACGAATAGCAGGACCAATTATTTGGCCGAATACGAATAGTGTATCATCATCATCAGGTGCCTTGCCGACTGGCGTAGGCGAATGAACCTCACCACAATCTGCGATCTCCTGCAGCATGTATTAGTTCGTGTGCTGACACACCTCCATGCCATGCAACAAGACTGTCAAGAATCTTCTCTCTTTGTCTTCCTCTATCCCTTCTTCCACAGATCTTTCCAGTGGTCTCCACATGTTCCATTTTCCATCTTCTCATAACATGGCCAAAAACTGATGACTGTCTCCTTCTGATGTCTGTGATTAGTTGTCTTCGGGCTCCCACAACTATCAAAACCTCTTGGTTGCTTTTTTTGGCTGTCCAAGGTATTTTAAGCATTGCTCTTTAAAACCACATCTGTGAGGCCTCAAGCAATTGTTTGGCCTGCCTGCCGATTGTCCAGGACTCGCAACGCATTGCCTTTAAATATAAGTGCTTACTTGACAAGGCTAACAGTGACTATTGTACAGACCACATTTTCAACTTTAAAATTTCAGCCCATATGTAATCACAACCTTTCTTATCCTCTACTCCTTCATGAATATAGATGAAGGATCATTCGCACCTCGAGATAAATACAAAAACAATTTTTAGCACGCTGTGGTTGGCATTTTGTGTAGTATGATACACTTTGAGTGTGAAACAAGAAAAAAAAACTTTTTTTGACAGTGGCGAATAAAGAAAATTTAAATTTTACCTTTTAAGTATCTTAACCCTCTGACTACCAAGCCCATTAACCCTTGCATTTCCCCAGATACCACGTATTTTAGTGTTTACTAAAAATGCCATAGCTTCACAACTATTTGATATAATCTTACAATATTTTGTATTTTTGCACCAAACTGAATGAAGAACAGATTTCAAGAAAAAAAAGTTGTTTATTTTGTTTTGCATCATCATCATGTGGCTGTAGATTGGTGCAAAAAAGGCAACCGGAAAATCTTTTATCTGACAACAATAAAGACTGATAGTGATTATTTTTTTTCACAAATTTTCAACTAACATATATAATATTTTGTATTTTCGCACAAAATTGAACCGAGAACAACGTGAAGACAAAAAATGGGGTTTACTTTGTCTGACATAATCATCATCATCATGTGGCTGCAGATTGTTGCAAAAAAGGCGACTGAAAAATCCTTTGTCTGACAATAATTCAGACTCCCAAAAAATGTCACAGCTTCACAACTGTTCAATATTACTTATCCTATCTGATATTGTTTGCACACAATTAAATAGATAACAAATATCAAGACAAATGTAGATTTACTGTTTTATATCATCATCATGTGGCTGTAGATATGGTGCAAAAAAGGCAACTGAAAAATCCTTTATCTGACAATAATTCAGACTCCCAAAAAATGTCACAGCTTCGCAACTGTTCAATATCACTTATCCTATCTGATATTGTTTGCACAAAATTAAATAGATAACAAATATCAAGACAAATGTAGATTTACTTTTTTATATCATCATTATGTGGCTGTAGATATGGTGCTAAAAAGGCAACAGAAAAATATGTTATCTGACAGCAATATATAGAAAACGCCCCCGTGACATGATGGTGGCAGCAAATGATGAGTGGAGAGATGGATATAAACTCTGGTAGTCTGAAATAGCTTTTACACAACACATGTGACACAACAGTACAAGAAACCCTGTCACTTCATTAGGGGTTGTGTGTTTCCAGTTCCAGCACTAATCTTTGTCTCAGCATAACGGTTTGTTTCTATTGCAAACACAGCAAGTATGTCTTTACTGAAGAAAATATCCAGTGGTTCATTTGTTCCTTCTGGCAGAAATAAAACAGAAGTGCCAGTAAATGGGGGTACTCCAGGAAAGCATTCTAAATCACAATGCCAGTCATCAACCATTTGGGGGCGTGGCACATCTTCTCCGGACTCGTTAGATGATGATGATTCTGAATCAAAAGCGGCAATGATATTTTCGTCATGTGCAGACTCAAGCACAAAATCTTTATAGTCTGTGGGCTTTGACTGAATACTCTTACAAGAACTATCAGCATCCTAACCTGCGGCACCAGTACTTGCAGCCGACAACACTGTGACTGTCTTTGTCAGACTTGACTTCGAAGCGTCATACTGTCGTTTTACAGTCGACGATGTTTTGAATGGCACTTCGTTAAATTTATTATAGTCATAGCCATCTAACTGTTCAGAAGTGTCTTCAAATGCACTTTTTGAAGCAAAATCAAGAAAATCGAATGCATCATTAGAAAAATTAGGAGAGATATGGTCACCACGATGGTTCCGATAATTTGACGCCATGATGAATTTTTCGTCAATGTCTCACCGTCATGGGAGCTAACTAAAAAAATTCGTAAAATATTTACTTCAAGCACTACGGAGTTATTTCCCTTAATTAAAGATACAGAAATGAATAAGCTAGAGGTTTCAACTAAATGCATCATAAAAATAGCGATTTTAACATGACGGCGAGCGTCCAAAGCTAAAATCGCAAAGGGTGTGACGTTGGCAGATGGAAGTAAACGTCGCTTTGTCGCATTACGTGCGACGCTGGTAGTCAGTGGGTTAATGCCTTCTTTAATATCACAATTTATAGCCGACTTTTCTTGATTTTCGCCACGGCACCCCTGGCACACGCACCCAGTTTGAGAACCTCTGCTGAAATGCCTTGATCGAGTCAACAGGCAAAGACCTTGACAGCTGCTGTACCACGCAACCGGGTCCCAGTTTACCCTGCTACGACAGACTTAGGCAACAGCAACTATTGTGTTAATGAGAGAGTTATTTCAGTCCATCGCAGTGTATACCCAACAGGTGTAAGGTAACCACTATTCGTATTCGGCCCAACTCAAGTATTTGGCAGAATACCAAAGTTAATAAGTCCACTATTTGGCCCCGAAGCGAATACGAAGCGAATATTCGGTACAGCCCTAATTTGAACTCTTTCAGTTCTAAACTGTTTGAATCCTCGGCAGAGTTCTGAGTTTTTCTGTTGGCAGCAGATATAAAAGCCACTGCCCCCTAACGAGCATGGTGTGAGAGGGGACTAATTAGGGTGTTCCAGGTTGCAGTGCATATGCCTGAGTGGTGAAAAACCAACAATCTGCATGCTAAAAAAAGTGAGATCCGTAAAATGGATGCATATGCAAAACTCAGGTTGTGGAATGAGAGGAAAGTCCAAAATTTTACGAACAAGGAGAACATTCTGCCAGAATTTATAGCTATTGAATGCTAAGAAGAAGAGGTTGAATATGTAAAGGTAAAAACATTGATTGTCCGAATGTGAAGCGAAAACACAAATCAGTTGTTGATTAAATATGTGGAGATTAAAAAAATGGATAGAAAAGTTAAAAAAATAAAAATTATTGATTATCTTCTTCTTTTCTCTACTCCTGGAATGCCTCGCGGCATTGATTGATTATGTAGGGATAAAAACAGTGTCACAGTTAATCATAGTATATGGTTAAATGTTGAGACAGGTTGGAGATCTAGTGTGCAGAGACACTTTGTTGATTGAATGTGTAGAGGTAAAACCAAATGCCTGAACATTAGAACTACAGTTCTCATTCACAGGAATACCTCTCCCAGTCGTCGGGCTCCAAAGGCTCTCTGTCACAGAGTGCCGGCTCCCACAAGTTGTCTCCCATGTGTGCTGCCCTCCTGTCTAGTGGAGAACTGGAGAAACATTGTGCACGTAAGAGTTGTTTGCCCCTTCTGCTGTTATGTTTTCTATGCTTGCTTGTTTAACCCTTTCGCTGCTATGGACGTCTTTTCCCGATTTCCCGTACGCTGCTATGCCCGTCTTTGGACGTTATTTTTTTTCATGACCCCCAGTGCTATGGACACGTCCCAAGCCGTTTTTGGACTTTTCTTACAGATTTCTGTTACCTCGTATTTTATTGGCTGAAGGGCAATATACATAAGCTATATTGAGATTAAACTAACCCATTTACATATGATTAAAAGCACTGGCACGTGCTTTTAGGTGTGTTTAAAGTGTGTTTACTGCATTCTGCGTTATCCCGTTGCTTTGTTTACCGTGACAGCGTGGTCGGTGATCTGTGTATTTTGTGCCCTGATATATATTTGTGCTTTTGGATTATTCTACTCTTAGTACAAAATGGCAAGAAAACTTGTTAAAGTTGATGAAGAATTGATGGAGTTTCTGTCAAGAAGTGATAGCAAAGATGACTGAAATATGTACTTCTGACAGTGAACAAAGAGATATGACTAGGCCATCAATATCGACTGCTGAGACCGGAAAAAAAGCTGTTTGCCTGTCCGACGTCCTCATCGTCGGAATCAGAAAGCAGCGACAATGAAGCGCCATCAAAACGGCAATACATTGATCAGTTGTCTTGATGAACCGATGATTTAAAACCAGTAGTGCATAATTTTGATGACTCCAGCTCTGGCTGTTTTTCTACTACTGTAAATTCAAACAGTTCAGTCACTATAAATTCTCGTCTTTCCCGATTGACAGACACAGATTCGGACGAACTTGTACTCGAGTAAAGACTACTAAAAACTCCCGTGAAATAATGTCGAGGGACAGATTTTTTACAATTGTTGAGAATCTCAAACATTTCTCAGACAACAGTGCTCATGCAGGCGGCGATAGACTACAAACTTACATTATTGATAGTTTGCGCACATCATTCATTATTATCATTCACACAGCACAATGCGTCAGAAGTAGCATAGTGTAGTTGGTATCACGTTCGCCTCAGAATCGAGGGTCGTGTGTTCAAACCCCAAAGTTGTGTGTTTATTATTTAATTGTAAATTTTCCTTTCAGTTCCTGCTACTTTTAAGCTACGACTCAAGTATTATTATTATTATTTTTATTATTTTTTTTTTTTTGGTATGTAATAACATGGTGACTACAAATAACTATGATTAAAGTTGCAGCCGTGGTAGGTTCGTCAATAAAATTTTGGGAAACGGACTGGGAACAGTTCTTCCCATTATTTCCCCCCCCCACCCCAGAAGGGTGATAGCTCCGTTAGTCAAGTTTGTGGAGCACCATCGTGCCTCTGACTTGTCACCACTCGCGCCAACAACACAACTCCCCAGGGTAAAAGCGAAAGGGTTAAGCTCACCAGTTGTATACATTGTAGCAAACAAAATTGTTGTACATCTTATTTTTTGTTTAAAAAAAAAAGGATAGTTTTAACTCCTTATTTATATTTGCAAATATGATGGTTTTAACTCGTTATTTTTTGACGTAGTTTGAATACTTAGGAAAAGATGAAAAAAGCAGTACAAATTTAATGTTCAGTTGTGATTTATGCAGTGAATGAAACTGAATTAATTTTGCATTATTTCTTTTTATTTATGGGAAGTTAAGTTAATTGAACCTTCATATCACTTGAAGGTTGCTCCTGTATCTGTTTTTTGAAGTAAGTGTACGTTAAGAATTCACTGCAGCCTTGCCACTAGCATTGTTTTCTGAATCCACCTGCATCCAGAACTCTTCTTGGCTTTCTTCGTGGTTTTCTGTTTTAAACTGCTGTATTCGATGATCTCAAGCAAATTTTGAAAAAAAAATCTTCATTTTTGCAGCGGCACCGTTGGCGTACGCTCGCAGCACCCCGGGCTGCTGTGGCACCCATTTTGAGAACCGCTGGGTTAACCCATTATCTGTGTAATAAATGAAACTAGCTGTACCCGGCCACGCGTTGCTGTGGCATAGTTTGGCTAAATGGAAAATAGAGAACATAGAAATCTGTCTTCGCTTCACGCCAGCGATGTACATTGCAACAGCTAAACCACAGCTAATAATACTTTGAGTGGGTAAGGCAGTTACTGTAACTTAAATCTATCTCAGTAAACAGTTTATTTTAACCACCCATCCCCCAGTTCACCTACTACCTTTTTCCTCATCGAAGTAGTTGGAAAAATTACCCTAGTGAAAAGCAACGAAAACAGGAAAAATACACCACAATTACGAAATGAACACATTTGCTAATTGCTGTAACCTACCATGCACGCGTTGCTACAATAAAAAGTGAATTGAAAGGAAAATCGCTTTAACAAAATGTAATTATATTGGATCATTGTGCCTGTTTAATTTCTTTAGGAAAAAACAGGTAATTCAAAATGACATTGTAAATGTGTTTACTGAAGTGCTTTCGGGTAAACAATGTTCTTGTTCTTCCGTCTGGCGCGTACACAAATAAATCAGAAGGTTTTCCGATGCGTGAACAGGCCACATATAGCTGTCCATGTGAAAAGCATGGATGTTCCAAATGTAGTCCACACACTTGTAGCGATTGTCCCTGTGATTTGTTTATGGTCATTGCAAAGGCGAGTCGCATCGGAAACTGCAAGCGTCTGAATTTAAATGGAATGTCTGTTGGAATCATTAGGATGCATGGCAATAGTATATTCTCGCCCTTAAATTTCCCATTCAAAAGTGTACCTTCGATGATATTGGGCATCAGCTTTTTCACTGAAAGCCTGGTACCATCGCAAAGTCGTGGCGGATTGATGTTTCTGAGAAGAATGATAGACACGCCAACTTTCAAGGTTAAAACATGGGGTGGCATGCCTGGCAAATAAAGCGAATTCAAGAACTCGGTTGGATAATTGACAACTTCACCCTTACACATTACAGTATCGATAGACTTATACGTTGTCACTCCGCCTGGTAATTTGTTTTGGATGTTCAGATTCATGGCATACACATCCTTGTTTTTAGCTGCTAAGATAGCACGTTCACTGAGCCACTGATGATTTATGTAATTCTGTGTGATATTAGGGAAAACTTCGTCCCATATAATGAGTTGACATACTTTGAATACTTTACCCTTTGCAGAATCATTGTTGATTTTGCATGTTGGTGTCTCAGTGATATGCATATTTAAAGGCAACTTCAGTGCTGAATGCACGGTTCGGCCACCATCCAAAAGAGTTGCGGTAAATCCAGAAGATGCTATTGCCAGTGCAATATTATTTTGTGACCGTATGGATGCCAAAATAAGCGAAATGAGAAAGGCATTACCTGTGCCTCCGGGTGCATCTATGAAATACAATCCTCCGTGTTGTCTTGTAACGGCATGCATAATTGTGTCATATGCTATACGTTGTTCTGGAACCAATTTTGGAAGATTTGTTTAAACACATGTACCTAATTCGGTGACATCAAAGTGTGTCTCTCATGGCAACTCACGATCGAAAAGGTTGTTTGCAGATTGTTCTGGTGGAGCCAGTCCCAGCTGAACCAGTGCTTTATTAGTTATTGCCAAACATATGTCCTCAATGCAAACCAATGCCTCATTATATACATTTGGTGTCAATTGAAGGTCCTGATCTTGCTCCGTTTCACGCCAGCGATGTAGGATGTCTTCACTCATGTAGTCTTTGTATTTTTCCCAAAGCTCTTTTGGATTGGATGGGAAGCAAGTTGTTAATATTATTGCAAATAATGTGCGTATTTGCTGTGGTCGAGCAGTATTCGAAGCATCAGCGAGTGAAGTGTCCCAATGTGCATCATTTTCAAGAAGATTTAATTCTTGGCGAGCTTCACAGTAAGTAGCGCATACTTTACCATAAACTGTTCTCAAGTCCTGGAAGGATGTCAGTCCCTGTTTGTTGATTAAAAGTTATCGCAAGTAAAAGCAATCTGCATTTTTGGGATGAACAGTGTAGAGACGGCCTAAAACATCAGTAGAATATAAATTAGGATGTCCGTCAACCACTTGACCTTGCTTGCAACGTTGAAACTTTTTAGCTGATGCATTCCACGTGTAGTATGTTGGCAGGTCAGAGTAAAGCAGTGCCTATGCAATCATATCATCTCTACACAATGAGAAAAATCAGTTAACGTGGTTGGCGGTGGTAACAATGTTCGTGCATGTGCATTTTCTGTAGTGAAGTACACGCTCTGTCTATTGTCAAGGTGCACTGCCAAATGAACAACTGCTGGATGTCGGTCATGAATTGGAAATGACAAAATGCGCCATACCGCTTCATTGCTACTAATGTAGCGCCCCAGCTGATATTGCTTGATTTCATCGATAGAGGCAGCTGCATGTCCCACTCCAAAGACTGCCATATCGCCTCCTTTGTTGACATATTTGCAAATGTACTTATGTTTGCCAAGAAATGTGTCGACTGGCCTGTGTCACCTGCTACCAATGATGATAATGGTCCGGGTGGTGAATGTAATACTGGCAATTTAACTTTTCCTACAGCGCAGCACATACCCGGCGTGTCATTCTTAAATTTGAAGGCACTGCAATGTACGCACAATTGATCCATTTTGCCAATAAGCACCTGTGGATGAAGACTGTAATCATAATTGCTGGTGTAATGGAATGCACCAAGATTCAAATCAACATGCAGTGTTCGCCTGGATAAAGTAGTGCGCATTTGAACGGTGTCCAGTCTTGCTTTACGTTGCTCGACTGTGTCTGATAAACGGACTTGAGCGGTGAGTACTCTATTGGTTTCCAGTCTTGCTTCTCGATGCTCGTCTGACTGAGACGATCTGGCTTCAGCAGGGCACACTCGAACGTTTTCTAGTCTTGCTTTCCGTTGCTGGTCTGATTGAGATGAACGGGCTTCAGCAGTGCGCACTCGAATGGTTTCCAGTCTTACCTCACGTTGCTCGTCTGTTTCTGAAGCAATTAATGCCCTTCTCTTGCGTGTTTTAGGTGTAGATGGGCCAATTGCTTGTCGTTTAAGAAGCATAACTGCAAATTTTGTGAGCGCTGATCATCAATAGCTTGTTCGTCCTCACGCACTGAATGAAATGTGACTTGAAGTATCGCTGAAATAAATGAAAATATGAGCATGAGATAACAATCTATTTTGACTCAAGAGGAAATGCATAGAAACTGGGCAGCAAATAGTAAGAAAAGGCGGTATATAAGACAATATGAGAAAGCCAACAGATAATGTGCATACATTTATCATTGTGGGATTTAAGGAGTGGTCCACACATGAATTTTAAGTTAAACAAATGTACATAATGACTGATGACACTGAAATAAATGCGCTCACCTGTTGAGATATTTCTAGATTTTAACACTGACCTGAGATGGAATGTCATGTAAATTTATATAATTCTTATGAATAACAGAAGAAAGCCAACCAAAACTGTTGTACTCATGAGCATGAGTATGAGAAAGATAACAGATAATGATTAATGATAATGTGTATACATTTATCATTGCGGGATTTAAGAAGTGGTCCACACTTGTTTGAAGTTAACAAAAACATGTACATACTGACTGATGTCACTGAAATAAATGCGCTCACCTGTTGAGATATTTCTAGAATCTAACACTGACCTGAGACGGAATGTCGTGTAAATTTATATAATTCTTTTGAATAACAGAAGAAAGCCAACCAAAACTGTTGTCACCCATGAGTATGAGAAAGATAACAGATAATGATTAATGATAATGTGTATACATTTATCATTGCGGGATTTAAGAAGTGGTCCACACTTGTTTGAAGTAAACAAAAAACATGTACATACTGATTAATGTTACTGAAATAAATGCTCTTACCTTTTTAGATATTTCTAGATAACACAACTAAAAACCGATGGCCGTTTTCCTTGTAATTTTGCGGGCGGATGTTGACGATGGTGCGTCACTACTGCGCATGCACAGTAAATCGATCGCACGTAACGTGGCTATAATTAGATGTCACTAAAAATTTAAATATTAGTTTCGAATATTTTTGCTTAAATTGTCGCAAACTATCTCTAACAATGACAGGTTGAATTTCAAACCATGATGGGTGAACATCCGGTATCAAAACAAACGTATCCTGAAAATTTCAGCTAAATCGGTTCAGTAGTTTCCGAGTCTATAGCTCATTAACAAACACATAAACATTGATTTGTATAGATATAGATATATATAAATGATTATAACCACAAATCATCATCGTTTTATGTTCTTCAACTCATCCAGCCAAACCTCCTAGTGGGTCCTTCATCAAAAGAAGTGGGAACCTGACCACCTGGAAGCAGATCAGAAATCTGCGAAATCTAGGCAAGACCAGAGACTTGAATGTTGAGAAGTCAAAATCTCTACCAGAGTTGACCACGAACAGGTACAAATTGATGATGTGCATGTGTGTGTATGCAAGGGAGAGAGAGACAGAAAAAGTAATCTAGACGAAACTAGAGATACGAATGTTGAGAAATCAAACACTGTGCTAAAGTGAATGACTTGTCAGCGACTGGTTGATTTTGTGTGTGTGTGAATAAATAGCTGACAAAGAACAGGTTAATGACATGTTGGGATTTTGCCAGTTGAAATCTGTGACAGAAATGACCACTCATGGGCACAAAATGACATTGTTGTATTGGGTATATGTGAATAGTTCACATGAGGTTTTATACGTGTGTGATTACTCAGCACAGGATAAGACTGCATGTATTTATTTGACTTTGTCAGCCCCATAAGGCTTTGTACACAAATCTTTACAGTGCATATAGCTTAACCAGTGGTTCTCAACCTTCCTAATGCCGGGACCCATTGAATACACTCCCTCATGATGTGATGACTCCCAACAATAAATTTATTTTCATTGCTACTTCATAACTTCAATGAATATATGTTTTCCCATGGTCTTAGGCGACCCCTGTGAAAGGGTCATTTGACCCCTATAGGGGTCAAAACCCACAATTTAAGAACCACTGGCATAAGATGATCTCGGATGTGGCAAATGTCTCTTGTGAGGAGCAGTTTGTTTATCCCTGGCAATTTTTTGTGCTTACACTCTTTACGCTTTACAGCCTTTTTAGGGGGTTATAGCCCCAATATAGGACACAGTTGTTTTGTTATTATAAAGCCCCACCCTGGCTGCTGTTGGAAGCCCTAATGTAACCTAACGGTTGAACAGGGTTTCTGGGGCTTGTGGCACTTTGTGTTACCAGGTGTTTATCGCTCGTTGTGTAGTCCTGGTGGGGTTGAACATCACTCATTCTTTGTTTGCCCTCTTATCTTCTGATAAGAAGAACTATTTCTCGGGTCCCCAGTGAGTTCTCCTTATCGGGTCTGCACTGTATTTTAATCCATTAAATTTTGCTGAGAAAAATTTTAAACACTTGCTCTGTTGTAGGAATGAAAAATGATTGAAAGATACCCCTGTGATTGCCAGATACATTTAGTATACAATGATCAAAACTGAAATATAAGAAGACACCTGATGTATTGTACAAAGATAAAGGCCCCTTATTACACCAGTGGCATATAGACTCATATTTTTATAGCACTCAATAGATGATGTGGTCAACATCACACCAGCCACCTTTGCTTCCCAGGACTTTACTTGATACCCATGGATTTTGTGAAGGCTAATCCGGTCATCAGATGCCTGCAGAATTTGGATATGCTGGCCGTAAGGCACAAATATTGCAGCCATGTTATAAATGGGCACAACACATTTACATCTTTGAATGAACGCAGAAGAAGATACCCAGGATTATCCTGGGGACCAAGTTCAGTTTAAAAATATAAAAATCACACTCACTGTGGATTTGAACCCCAAATCTTTAGGCCAGCAGGCCTGCTATGCTGTTGTACCAGTTTATCTTCCACAATGGAAATACTGGTGCTAAATAGCCCTTAGTGTGAAGACATGTTTTAGTCAGTTGATGCCACTCTACTCTCCCACCATCTTTGTCAGACATTACTCTGCTGGACCATCTTATCATGCTGCAAGACTGTTTATCCTCTGTTCTCAGATATTCTTTTCAGCTTTAAATAGCCATTCTCTGTTCATGCCTTTGTGTTTTGTGCTGCCATTTTGACAGTTTGAAAACATTTCTCCCCATGTGGATTTCAGGGCCCTTTGGAAGGGTGGGTTGGGGGGGGGGGGTGGGGGGAGGTAAACCCACTGTTTCTTAACAAGCATAGTAATATAAGGCAACTAAATAAGGATTCCCTGAAATAAGATAGGTTGGGCCAAAAGGTGTAGATATCAGCCTAGCTGTAAACCACAAGACAGTGTGCCAACTCCCGTTTAAGGGCAATTGCAGAAGAAAAAGAAGAAACTATATTTGTATCTTGTTACATTAATCTTTTAAGAGGTGTAACTCTCTTATCTCGCATGTAGATTTTTACACCAACTTTCTGGAGAGACTTGTGACGAGGAGGATGGGGAGAAAGCAAGGGCAGTAACTGACACCGAGCCAGACACAGATGATGCTGAGCAAAGCTTCCACCAGCAACGGCATTCATGTTATATCCTGGACCTTTATCAGCGGCTGAGGACCCAGTCGAACCCACCTTCCCCTGACACTCTGGCCCAGATTGATAAGGTAAGTTTCAGTATCTTCTTCTGACCTTTACCCAAATTGATAAATTATGATTCTTATCTTCTTCTGACCTTTACCCAAATTGATGGGTTAAGTTTCTAATCTTTGGACCTGTACCCAAATTGATGGGTTAAGTTTGTAATCTTATGACCTTTATCCAAATTGATGGGTTAAGTTTCTAATCTTTTTATGACCTTGACCCAAATTGATGCGTTAAGTTTCTAATCTTTGGACCTGTACCCAAATTGATGGGTTAAGTTTCTAATCTTATGACCTTTATCCAAATTGATGGGTTAAGTTTCTAATCTTTGGACCTGTACCCAAATTGATGGGTTAAGTTTCTAATCTTCGGTCCTGTACCCAAATTGATGGATTAAGTTTCTAATCTTCGGACCTGTACCCAAATTGATGGATTAAGTTTCTAATCTTCGGACCTGTACCCAAATTGATGGATTAAGTTTCTAATCTTCGGACCTGTACCCAAATTGATAGGTTAGGTTTCTAATCTTATGGCCTTTATCCAAATTGATGGGTTAAGTTTCTAATCTTCTTATGACCTTGACCCAAATTGATGCGTTAAGTTTCTAATCTTTGGACCTGTACCCAAATTGATGGGTTAAGTTTCTAATCTTATGACCTATATCCAAATTGATGGGTTAAGTTTCTAATCTTTGGACCTGTACCCAAATTGATGGGTTAAGTTTCTAATCTTATGACCTATATCCAAATTGATGCGTTAAGTTTCTAATCTTATGACCTGTACCCAAATTGATGGGTTAAGTTTCTAATCTTCGGACCTGTACCCAAATTGATGGGTTAAGTTTCTAATCTTTTTATGACCTTGACCCAAATTGATGCGTTAAGTTTCTAATCTTTGGACCTGTACCCAAATTGATGGGTTAGGTTTCTAATCTTCGGACCTGTACCCAAATTGATGGGTTAAGTTTCTAATCTTCTTATGACCTTTATCCAAATTGATGTGTTAAGTTTATAATCTTGTTCTGACCTTTACCCAAATTGATGGGTTAAGTTTCTAATCTTCTTATGACCTTTACCCAAATTGATGTGTTAAGTTTCTAATCTTGTTCTGACCTTTATCCAAACGGATAAGTTGAATTTCTTAACTTTTTTTGACCTTTTCCCAAATTGATAAGTCAAGTTTCTGATCTTCTTCTGACCTTTTCCAAAATTGATAATTAAGGTTTCTAATCTTCTGACCTTTTCCCAAATTGATAAGTTTCTAATCTTATTCTGAACTTTACACTAAATTGATAATTTAGGTTTCTAATCTTCTGACTTTTTCCTAAAGTAAATTATTTAATCTTGTACACTTTACCCAATTTGAAAAGGTAAGGTAAGTTTGTTATCTTCTTCTGGCTTTGTGTGTGTGTGTGTGTGTGTGTGCCTGCGTGCGTGGGAGAGAGAGAGAGAGAGAGAGAGAGAGAGAGAGAGAGAGAGAGAGAGAGAGAGAGAGAGAGAGAGCTTTTTCTGAGATATATACCCAAATAGATAAAGTAGGTTGAGTTTCTAATCTTATTCTGACCCAAATGGATGAGTTAAGTATTTAACTTTAACCAAATTGATAAGGTAAGTTGAGTATTTAATCGTTTGTACTTTATCCAAATTGATAAGGTTGGTAAAAGAGGGAAGGGACGCTTTCCCTGCTAGTGATGCCTTGAGCCCTTGCTTCTAGGCCCACATTTTTAGGGACCCGTCAGCATGCGACGGATGATATGCTCAACACCGAGTTGGTCACCTTTGATCAGCAGGGCATTTCCTGGTACCCATTTTTAAACGCTTGTTTGATTTGAGAGTCAGGGGGGTTTTTACAATTTTAAAAAGAAAAATTTGTCTTAATGCAGAACACATGACCTTCAGGCAGTGGTAAATCATATTGATAAGTATTATGCACCATTGAAGGGTGAATTTATGCGTGGCAAGCTAGATATGGTCAAAGCCATTTGCTAAACGCAAGTAAACAATGCAGAGGCAGGGATAGATCATTATGGTCTGGAGAGAATGATCCAGCTAGGAGGGACCAAGGGATCTGGTCAACACTCTACTTTCAGAGGAAAGGCAAGACATACATATAATCAAACAGCTACTGGCACCATTGGTATTGGAACCCTGCACCGGCTGCTGAAGATGGGGACGGAGTGCTTATGGGAATGTCCCAGGTGCTGGGATGTCAGTTTTTAGCTCAGCACTCACTAACAAATATTTTTCTTGTTTAAATAAATTTATAACTAAGTTAAATATTTTATCCTCTTCTGTTTTTGATCCTTATTGATAAGATAAGTATCTTATCGATAAAATAGTATTTTAACCATGTTTTTCATCCAAATTAAAAAGGTTGAGTTGTGTTAAGAACTGACATTCTCATAAGTGCCTTGTCCTCATCTTTAGCAGCCAGCAAAGAGTTCCAAAGCTGATAGAACCAGTAACAGTATGATTATGTATATCCATCTGGCCTTTTCTCTGAGTGTTGCGTGTGGGCCACATCCCCTGATCACTGCCTGCAGTACCATTATTGTCAGACTTTGATGATCTATCTGTGCCTCCATACTGTTCTCTGGCTCCCAGAGGTTCTTGACCACATCTAGCTTGTCATGCATAATAAGATCACCACCTAATAGTTCAGCACCAGCCAGTTGTTTGGCTGTTTATTTCCCAACACACCTGCATTTCCTGTAGACAAAAATTCAAAAAGGCACTAACTACCACTAAAGCAAACATTTCCTTGTACCAACTTTAGGCTAGTTTGACCTCTGAGCATGTCAGTTTTCAAACAAATCTTGCCTTGGTGGGGATTTAAACACATAACCATCAGGCTGGCAGGTAAGTATGATAGCCTGTCTGCCACTGTGACTACCTGTGCTTCTTGCCAGCCTGCTTATCTTTGAGTGCCCTTTGTTTATTTCAGATCCTGCTTCGAGAGGGCTTCTTGAAAGAGGCAGGGGATTGTGACCAACAGCAACAGCAGAAGAGCTGTTGTCATAGCACCAATGCCTCCTGCGACTCTGCTTGTTCTTCTGGTAGGTCAAGTCTTAGGAATCGATCTCAAGATATGTGTGGATGGATATAGGGAAATATTTCAAGGTTCTGAGTAGATTTAAAGGTAACAGCAGTATTTTTACCAAAATTGTGTAATCAGTGCCAAACATGAACTTTAACAACAACAGACCAAAGAAAAATAGAAACAACAGAATTGTAATGTCTACGGCGAATCCTATATGTAGCTAGAAGAGACAGGATCAGAAATGACGATATCAGGAAAGAAGATCCTTGGATACATTTTAAGATGTCTGGATGGATACATTTTAGGATCCTTGGATTCATTTTAAGATGTCTGGATTCCAAGATCAGGGGACACATTTTAAGAAGGAATACATTTTAAGATCCTTTAATTCAAGAAGTGTGGATGGATACATTTCAAGAGCTATCAATACATTTTAAGATGTCTGGACATATAGATTTTAAGATGTCTGGACAGATAGATTTTAATATGTCTGGGCAGATACATTTTAAGATGTCTGGACAGATACATTTTAAGATGTTTGGACAGATACATTTTAAGATGTCTGGACAGATACTTTTTAAGATGTCTGGACAGATACATTTTAAGATGTCTGGACAGATACATTTTAAGATGTCTGGACAGATACATTTTAAGATGTCTGGACAGATACATTTTAAGATGTCTGGACAGATACATTTTAAGATGTTTGGGCAGATACATTTTAAGATGTCTGGAGAGATACATTTTAAGATGTCTGGACAGATACATTTTAAGATGTCTGGACACGTATATTTTAAGATGTCTGGACAGATACATTTTAAGATGTCTGGACAGATACATTTTAAGATGTCTGGACAGATACATTTTAAGATGTCTGGACAGATACATTTTAAGATGTCTGGACAGATACATTTTAAGATGTCTGGACAGATACATTTTAAGATGTCTGGACAGATACATTTTAAGATGTCTGGACAGATACATTTTAAGATGTCTGGACAGATACATCTTAAGATGTCTGGACAGATACATTTTAAGATGTCTGGACAGATACATTTTAAGATGACTGGACAGATACATTTTAAGATGTCTGGACAGATACATTTTAAGATGTCTGGACAGATACATTTTAAGATGTCTGGACAGATACATTTTAAGATGTCTGGACAGATACATTTTAAGATGTCTGGACAGATACATTTTAAGATGTCTGGACAGATACATTTTAAGATGTCTGGACAGATACATTTTAAGATGTCTGGACACATATATTTTAAGATGTCTGGACAGATACATTTTAAGATGTCTGGAGAGATACATTTTAAGATGTCTGGACATATACATTTTAATATGTCTGGACAGATACATTTTAAGATGTCTGGACAGATACATTTTAAGATGTCTGGACAGACACATTTTAAGATGTCTGGATAGATACATTTTAAGATGTCTGGATAGATACATTTTAATATGCCTGGATAGATACATTTTAAGATGTCTGGATAAATACATTTTAAGATGTCTGGATAGGTATATTTTAAGGAGGTCCTTGAATAAGCTTAAATATATGTAGTTGGATATATTTCACAGTCCATGTACTGAAGGAGAGATGTTGTAAAACTGTGTGGTAATCTGTTATCTTTTTATTTGTTTTATGAGAGGTGGAGAAAGGGAGTGAAAGAGTTGAAAGAAATCCTCCACCTTCTCAGACACACAGAAAAGACACATTTGTATAAGACACATTTGCATTCAGACCTTGATAATACAATTCACAGGTCACTACCCATTTTACAACATGTGTGTGCAGCGCAGTGACATTCTACAAAAGCATGCCCAACTCCGAGCGGAGATGGAGATGAGGCAGAAGCTACAGTTGGACCTGCAGAACACATCGGCCAGCGGCAACATGAAGTCAGGCTGTACTCAGACCCTACGTTCCCTGCGGATGATGACCTCCAAGGAGACTGACATGTCACCAAGCACTGTCACATTGTGGCTGGGAACCAAGAATTTTTCATCTCAGTTCCCCACCAAGTAAGTGTGTTTATGTGATAGTGGAATGGTTCACCTGTTTCCCACCAAATAAATGTGTTAGTGTGAAAATTAAATCTTTCATCTGTTTCCCAACAAATAAATGTATGAATCTGTTGCGGTTCCCACTTTAATGTTAATTTATTGTAGTTATCATGTTGTTACTTGAAAAAAAAAAAACTTGCGTCATTTGTTGTCAAAAGTGCTAAGAACTGAAAATGAAAATGTACACTAAAAAATGATTTAAAAAAAAAGTTAAGCCACTATGCTAGTATACCATATCATAATAACAAGTGAAAAAAAGACCAGTATTGTATAGTGGGATAGACTCACATGAATTGTCTGTTGAATAGTAAAGAAAATAATTAATTTTAATCATCATGTCAGTACAAGACTATATTCTCTTGTTGATCACTGGGGATCCATTTTAAATCCAGTCCATGGCTGGGTCAGATAGTCTTACTCACTGCCAGAAGTACACATGTCCGCCGGCGTGCCGTGAAGATAACCCAACACATAACTCACACTTTTTAAAGTGATCCTTACTATTATTTCTTGAAAGAAACTCCATTAATTCTTCGTCAGCTTTCATAAACCAGTTTTCCTGCCATTTTTTTTTTTTTTAATGTAGACTAATAGAAAACCAGAAATATATTTCAGGACAAAAAAATACACGATTCACCAACCACCCAAAGCAACAGGATAACGCGGAATGCATCTAAACTAGGACTGTACAGAATAGGGATTTTCACTATTCGGCTGAATACGAATAGCTGGACCAGCAATTCGGCCGGATACGAATAGTGAATCATCATCATCAAGTGTTTTGCCGACTGGCCTGGGCGATTATGCCTCGCCACAATCTGCGATCTCCTGCAGCATGTATTAGTTCTTGTGCTGACACACCTCCATGCCATGCAATAAAAATGTCAATTCTCTCGTTGTCTTCCTCTATCGCTCCTTCCACATATCTTTCCAGAGGTCACCACATGTTCCACTTTCCCTCATCTCATAACATGGCCGAAAAATGATGACTGTCTCCTTCTGATATCTGTGAGTAGTTGTCTTCGGGCTCCCGCCTCTTTTAAAACCTCTTGGTTGCCTTTTTTTTGTGTGTGACTGTCCAAGGTATTTTAAGAATTTTTCTGTAAAACCACATCTCTGAGGTCTCAAGAAATTTTTTGGCCTGCATACTGATTGTCCATGACTGACAGCTATATGTTAAAACTGGATGTATGTAGCAAGCAAAATTCTTTTTCCAACCTTCAGTGACAAAGATATATTGCATAAGATGCTCTTCATTTTATAAAATGCAATTTTTGCCTGTCCTTTTCTGTTTCTTATTTCAGTAATGCATCTTCCATCTGATGTTATCCATGTGCCCAGATACTTAAATTTCTGTGCTTGTCCCAAAATAAAACCATTGACATTTATTACACATTTAAGAATAATTTTTTTTTTTTGGATACCACTATTACTTCTGTCTTCCCACTTTTCAAACTGAGGCCCATTCTTCCACTTTTGAGTAGTGTATAAAATAGATTTAGAAGAAAAAAAAAATCGATAATGTCAAATCTACGCTGAAATTTTACTTCACAAAATGTGTAGTGCAGAATAGTAAACATTTAAAAACATTTCATGTTTTGCATCCTTCAGTCAGTCAGTCTGTGGTAACTAATACCTAGGAATGCAAGTATTCTTAGTTTTATAACAAGTATCTAAACTTGTAAATTGTCACTGACAGATGAAAACGGCATTAGCTTTCCAAAAAAAAAAAAACGCCTTCGTTCCATGTTATCAGCATTAAGGCAGCTTCTTGTCTCACTAAAAGTATTTCCAGCTGTACTAAACAGACGTTCACTTGGTACGCTTGTAGGTGGTGCACAAAGATAACGCTTGACAGTATGAACCAATGTGGAAAATCTTGATATGTTCATTTTCCACCAGTCCAGAAACGGGTGTAAGGTAACCACTATTTGTATTCGGCCCGACGGCAACTATTTGGCTGAATACCGAATATTTAGTAGGTCCACTGTTCGGCCGCGAAGCGAATACGAAGCGAATATTCGGTACAGCCCTAATCTAAACACACCTAAACGAATGTGACAAGGTTTTTAATCGTATGTAAATGGGTCAGTTGGATCTGATTTAGGTAATATGTATTGCCATTTGACCCCCGAGAATTACGGTCCTTAACAACTTGTAAGGAAAGTTAAAATCTTGTTTCTGGAGGACATAGTAGGACACACATCAAGATGTCCTTAGCAGTCTATGGGACAAATGTATAAATACATCCATAGCAGTGAAAGGGTTAAGTAAAGATTTGCTGTCCATATTGTTGGGTTTTGTTGATTACTGATTTAAAAATTAACATTATAGCACACCGGGCATACCCATAGATGCTCCGTCTCCTGCAGCAAAGGACATAAGGTGTAGATGCTAACTGTTTCCCGTAGCACTCTGATTATACACACGCCGATCTCTTCCTGTCATCTGTCCTTCCTTGCCAGATCCACACTTAATTCCTCGTTCCCACATTCTTGCCCATATTATTTCATCTAATCTCGTGTCTTCTGCCAAAAGTCATTTTGGTTTTGTTGTTGTTGTTGTAATGGAGCAAGTAATTGATATTATTCACTGAGCAGGGAAACTTTACATTGCAGGACTCAAGACTGTGGTCTGCAGACATCCATAGATGACCCTTCCGACCTCCAGCTTTATCACCAGTCCCAGCAAACATCCCCGTACACTCCGGAGAAGGACCTGTTTTCCCTCTTGTACGAAGTGTGTGAACGCTACAGCAAGGAGGCTGGACCTAATGCTGACCCACACAAGGACATGGCTTCTGATGGTGATGTTGGTCAAGGAATCGGCCAGGCAGATTATGGATTTAGAAACACCAGAGTTAGGGATAATACTTTGTCTTCCAACCAAGATGAAGCTGGAGGAGAGGACTATGATCATGGGCATGTCAGAAGTTCAGCGAGGCTGCCAGAGAAAGGTGTATCAGCTAATCTAATGCATAGAGCTGCTTCAGCTAGTGATTGCCAGAAACTCAAGATGCGAGAATCACACCTGTACAGAACTGCCAGTTTGTCTCCCTCACGGATGGGGATGAATACATATTATACGTACCATTCTCTACCAGATTTGAGTTTCTTGAAGGAGAAAAGAAAATCCACTGTCCACGATGAGTGCAGGGAGCGGTCATATGATCAGAATCGACCCCATTCTCCGGAATCATCCCTGTTTGATCCTGTGAAAATACCCATAATCCTGAGTCCGATTGTCGATGTTGAGCTTCCGTGTTCTCACTCATGCAGTCCTTGCCATTCACACAATTGCTCCCCCAACCATACTCGTAATTGCTCCCCAAGTCATTCCCATTCTTGCTCTCCGAGTCATTCTCGTACATGCTCTCCGAGCCATTCACACTCTTGCTCTCCAAACCATTCTCGAAATTGCTCCCCCAGTCACTCACACTCCCCAAGTCACTCACACTCTTGCTCCCCTGTACGTCGACAGACCACATCATGCTGTGTATGTCCCTGTTCCCACAGAAGTCAAAGTTCTCCTCCCTCAAAAGGTTCCCCGGAGTTGTCCAGAAAGTCCAAATCCTTCACCGGGGTTGTCCCAGCCTGCCGAAACCATACCCAAACCTCCCATGTTTGTTACCTACATCACCTCAGTGATCCAGTCTCCAAACTGCATGTTGCTGACCACACTGCCACGCCCATAAGGAGGTGTGCCACAGTCGGGCAGATGCCTTGTGGCATAATGAAGAAAGAACAATATCAGATGGAGAAACCACGCTCGGTCAGCTGCGACATTATCAAAGACCACTTCAAGGGGAATTCTGTGGAAAGGACTGCAGTGAATCCCCCAGAGAGAGGTGGGCATGTAGTACACAAACCAATAGTTACACAGGGAACACACAGGACCAAGCCATTGTCTCAGTCTCCGTGCTGCTCACGGCTTCAGAAACCAGCACAGGCCATGCAGATTGCCAGTTCTGAGACATGCATATCTGAGGACTGTGACAAGACTGGTCAATGTGCTGAAGTACGATTGATCAAGAGAAGGGAGAATTTGCATCCTGCCGCTTTTGGCAAAGTTAGTGATGCTCACAATGAGTATGTGAGTGAAGCTAATACTGGATCCTACCGTGGAGATAGAAGTGAGAGCGGTGGCAGTGGGGGTTTCACGCCCAGTGAGGCTAATACTGGATCCTACCGTGGAGATAGAAGTGAGAGCGGTGGCAGTGGGGGTTTCACGCCCAGTGAGGCTAATACTGGATCCTACCGTGGAGATAGAAGTGAGAGCGGTGGCAGTGGGGGTTTCACGCCCAGTGAGGCTAATACTGGATCCTACCGTGGAGATAGAAGTGAGAGCGGTGGCAGTGGGGGTTTCACGCCCAGTGAGGCTAACAGTACAGCTGCTGCCATCGGGAGTAGTTGTTGTGGTAGTACCAGCAGTGGAACAGAGAATGGGAACAACCTGTGTGGCAAGTCAGCATCTTCAACCACCTCGTCATCATCATCTTCATCTAGAAAAGTGACCAGTGGCCAGTATGTGGTCAGTTGTTTCTCTTCCACTTCTGCATCATCCATAGTCAGTGACCAGAAGAGTTCCATTTCAACCTTGGACTCCAAGAGCCAGGATAGTGACCAGAAATTTGAGGTAGTCCCAAAGTCCAGGAGGGATTTTTATCACATTAACAACAAAAATAATGTAATGACTAATGTTAGCAATAATGTTAACAACAGGAAAGATATTAAAGAAGTCAGTTGTGAAACTGCCAAGCCGAATGGGACTGTAGTTGAAGAAAAGAACAGATCTGTCAGTAAAGACAACAGCTTGCCTGGTTCCTCTGCATCATCATCATACGCCACTGTTGCCAAACCTAATGTAGCAGATAAAGGAATGGGCATTCCTGAGCAAACAGTTGCCAGAAGAGGAAATGAGGATGTTAAGATCAGCAAAGGTAATTTGGAGAAAGGGGACATGGGAGTGGGGTGCCATGAGCTTTGTACTGAACTTGATGAAGACAATGTGGTTGGTATAGATGAAGATGTTGATGGATCTGGTGATTTAGGGTGCCTTGAGGATTGTGAATGTGGGACAGAAGACATCCTAGATGAATCTGAAGAAGATTGTCAGAATCACATTGGGCTGCAGACTGCTTCTCCATTGTGCTGTGACTTTGATGGAAAAGGAGAATGCAGTGATGGATGTATACATGCAGATGGTGAGGAGGCTAATGCTCTGGGCATCATGCCGGAGGAGTTGGAGCAAATCCTTTTTCAGCCACCACATATGGAAAGTTGCCTGGGGCGGCAGCGGACGAGAAAGAGGCAGAGAAATAGCAATGCTGCCACTGGCGGCAGTGATGGGATGTGTAGTTTAGAGAAGCTGGAGTGTACAGTGGAAACAATGGTGGAGTTGGAGGTGAATAATCCACCAGATATAATTGATCAACTGCAGATTTTTAACTCTCATGGAGACATGAAAACTTCTGCTAGTGGGAATGCATTACTGGCCAAGCAGAAAAGGGTTAAAACAGACCAGATCATGCTGAACGAAGCCAGTGGTAAACATTATGAAAAGAATTATCAGACAGCAACAGCTGCTGCTGGATCTAGTCAGGTCAGAATGAGGAAAGTTGATAAAGATTCTGTGATGATACAGGAGCGGGGCAGCAGATCTGACAGACGGGACCACAGACGAAGATGGAGCACTGGCTCCTCACTGGGCTCCCAGCTGGATGATGATGTGCACTGTCATGAGAAAGATTGTGAACATGGCTTGGTCTGCTCTCACTCGTCTTACGAGGACTTCCTGCCCCAGCACAGCAGCAGTTTGTGCCATGATGGGTGGCATACGACGTGGGATCGGCAGGGTATGTATAGGGTTTATATTCCACTAATTATTTTCAGTCTTTTTTTTTTCTGCCTCCTAAGTTTTCTGTCTGTCTGTCTATCTCACTGCCAGAGGAAAGCGATGAACTTTAAATGGGATTAATTCACAATTGGTGAAGAAATAAGAGCAGTATCTGGATAACCACCTGTATCAACAGTTGCAAAAAGAGAAGATGGTGCCATGTTGGGCACATCCTGAGGAGTCAATAGACAAATTACCAAATGGGCACAGAAATGAGAAACAGATGAATTGGGAAAACAGGGACGTCTAAAAGAAAGCCTCAAACAAACATTGCTAGGAGAAGCCAGAGGTACTGGACTGGATTCCATCCATGATATCAGAAAGATTGCTCAGGATAGAATGGAAGAGAGGACTTGACTGCAAGCCCTGGATGGTGTATAATGGCCTCATGGGATGATGGTCTGTCTGTTTCTACCTAGCTACCTTCTAACCCACCTGCTTACCTGTTATGTTTTGTTATGTTATCACAGTTGATTTCTTTGCCCTTTTGCTGTCCTCCAGTACAGCAGCAGCCACTCCAGGGTACCTCTACTGATTGTTCCCATGAGAAATTGGTATTAGTATCTCCTGTCTTGACCTTAAAGTTGACATAGAGGTGCTTCACCAAGCATAACTAACAGATCACATACCTACGTACCTACCTACCTATTTGTCTGTCTGATTTTCTGTTGTCTTCTTTATGCCTGGATCACAGAGGTACTATACACTGATCAGCTCTTTTAGTTTTCTTTTCATCAGGTACACTGTACTTTGTTTTTCTTGGTGATTCTCGTCCATTTTTAACTGGGCCCATAAAAGATAGCTGACATTTTAATTTATATTTTAAACTTTTAACATTCAATAAGCACGGGACAGAAGAAAAAAGCAAATCTTCTGCTGTTAGTGAATGCTATATCTTATTAAACCTTGCAGTCAAGCTACCATTATTTATTTATAATAAGATTTAAATAATCAAGTTACAGAAAGTATTGTGATCGGCACTCATAGAAAGACAAAGCAATAAGGTCTACTGTGTTCGTAAATTGTTGCTGTGATTGTTATTTGACATTTGCTTCGTTAATATAAATTTCTGTAACCTATGGTGCCATTTCAATGGGTTGAAATGAATTCTGTCCGTGTTCCAAGGTTGTGAATTTCAAGCTGTACGATAGACATGGCCAACAAGACACCTTTTTTTGGGGGTGCCTAGTTGACCATGTATCTTAGTGCACTTGTATTCATGGCAAGGCGCAGACGCCGTCTGGAGGTGACAGGTTCAATTCCCGGCACGGTAACTATAGGTTTTGATTTTTATGTTGTCTAGTGTGTTCTTTTATCTTTCTACTTCTTTCTATGAGTGCCGATCACAATACTTTCTGTTACTTGATTAATTCATAATATTTAACGTCCTCAAAAGGTTCCCCCCTCTGTTTCCCCCCCCCCCCCCCCCCATGCCCCAAAATGTTAGTAATGTAGTGATTATGATTTTCTCCTCCTCCTCTTCCTTTCCCTCTTGCTGCTCCCACATCTGTTTTTTTCGTGCTACTCTTCCTTCAATGTTAGTAGTTGTAGTATTTCTGTCTACAATTAAAACTTCAATATGTTTCCAAGTGTGTGAGCCAAAGTTGCTGAGTGACCAGATGCTTGCTTACTGACCTGAATGTTTCGAGTTGAAATCCTCACCCATTCCTAGTTGATATAGGCCCCCTGCTTGACCGAGCCTAAAATGTGTTCTAGGAATTTTTTGGGGAAGACAGTTTAGCTGGCATGATAGTAACCAGTTTAATTCATTAACGCTGATTGACCTATGAAAATATGGGTTGAACACCTTATATCTTTTCTACCAGTGACATGAAAGAGGCTCATTACTTATTTACATGGTCTCATTACAGAAGCTACAACAATGGGTTTTTAAAAATAGTTTTTTTTTTTTTTCAAACAGTATGTTCATATGTTGCATATAGTGTTTTGCTCTTTAGTCCTAACCAGCGCGGGATGTGTGAATCACTGTATCCACTATATCCCCTCTTTGGTTTAATGTGCCATCTTACTTTTTTTTTTTCAACATTGTTGTCATCTGCTTCTTAGGCATTGCGAACGTGCTTCCTAACTATGGGGTGCCTAGTTCGATCCCAGCTGCAGACGATTTGGCAGCAGACCATCTTGTGCTGGTTTTGCCAGTGGTACAGATAGCTGACTTTTCAGTTGCAATAGCAAACTATTGACTGTTGAATGTAAATTTGCCGAGTAAAACCACTACATCCTGTGAAGGATGTGCAGCTAACTCACTTTTAACGTTTGGTCAGAACATATTTAGGGAATCTGGCTTCTCCAGTGGTCACTGCTACTGTTACATTGCCACTTTGAAAGTAATATTTGAAAGGAGTTTTAATCACGGATATTCCTTTACTATGGAATCTCCAACAAAACCCTCTGGTGCTGAAAGAGTTAAAGAGGACTCGATTCTTCTGTTCTAGCCGAATGTTGCCATGAGCCACATCTGCGTTGCTGCAACCACAGTTCAGCACCCACAGTGGATGAGGAGCTGATCTTGAGGTACCACGCATGGCTGCAGGAGAGGAAGCCCCTCAAGTCATGCCTCAGGAAAGTGGTGTCTGGGTAAGTGAAGAAGGATTTGCTGGTCAGACCAGAACTATGTTGGTTGAAGTTATCTGTATTGGTGCAGAGATGTGAGGGCAGACAGTGTGATGAGGAAGGGAGTGGGAAGATAGAGAGCACTGTATCTTCATTCTTTTTTCTATTGAAAGAGTGGAAAGAGACGCAGTTGAGGGAGGGTGAGAATAGAGAGAGGGAGCAAGGGATTGGCGAGAGTTAGAATAAGAGTAGATAGAGCAAAGAGTAGAAAAAGAAAATAGAGTATGATAAAGTGGAGAGACTACAATGGAAGAGTGGAAAGATGAGAGAGAATCAAGAGTAAGATGATGGAGAGAGTGAGCTAATGGGGAGGGAAAGTGTGGAAACAAAAGAATAAATTAGAAAATATAAGAGAAAGAAGAGTGTATGCGAGAGTGGAGGCAAGGACTAAAAGAATGGAGAGAGAGAGCAAGAGACTGGAGAGATAAAGGTAATGGAGGGTTGGAGAAAGAGAGAGAGAGAGAGAGAGTGGAGTGATTGAGTGAAGGTCTACAAGGAATACAAGATGGTAGAGTGAGATAAAGAGTGAAGATATAGATCAAGAGAGTGGTTAGAAATTGAGAGTGGAAAAAAAGAGAACTAGATTGTGGAAAGAAAAAGTAACAGAACAAAAACAAAAATCATGAATTGGGCACACAGGCCCATCTTACATTCGGCCCTCAAATGAAGTGCATGAATGAATCAAGAACTGACATCAGTGTACTCTTGACATTCCCATATATGCTCCGTCCCATTCCTCAGTAGCCAAAGAAGAGTTCCCATACTGATAATACCAGTTGCAACCCACGACCGACTGCAGCTGACAGGCCGTGCTGCTGACGTCACTGGGTCAGGCTAACGATGTGTTAACACAGCGTTTCTCAAACTGGGTGCCGAGCCACCCTGGGGTGCCGCGAGCGTTTGCCAGGGGTGCCTCGGCAATAATCAAGAAAAGTCAGCTTAAAATTGTGAAATTATTAAAGAAGGCGTGCAGATACTTAAAAGGTAACATTTAAGTTGTCTTCCCTCGTCACTGTCAAAAATAGTGTATTTCTTGTTTGAGAACCGCTGCGGTAACGCATCGTTAGCCCGACCCCGTGAAATCTCCGGCCCCTAACCCAGTTAGAAGATTGTCCAGGCCCTCTGCTCACTCCTAGCTGAATCATTCTCTGTTCTGTTGCCCTGTTCACTTGATCCCAGAGAGCCTTCACTATATCCACTTTATCATAAAGTAGCTTACCACCCGGAGGGGCAGCAGGAGCACACACAGCAGGGTCTTCTCACTCCTCTTTAACTTAGTAATTGTATTTTGTGAAGGATGCTTGATAAGTGTGTATAATGCATGTTAACTTCATATATCAATATACAGTAGCAATAAAGATTAAGAGGGGAGGAGAGTGGAGAGAGAGATTGAGAGTGGGGAAAAGACTGGTGTTTAGAGAGAGAAAGAACAAATAAACAAACAAACTTTATTTCCAAAGGGGTACAAACTGGGCACGCAGGCCCATCTTACATTCAGCCCTTCCAAGTATTCATCTCTCATATAGCAGTTGTGTTTTATTATCAACCATATTATGTTCATAAATCAAAATTCATATATGAATTTAAAGTAAAAATGTGAAAGCGTGGATAACAAATGTATAGAGGGAGTTCTGAGAGAGGAGAGAGAGAGAGAGACGATGAGAGAGAGAGAGAGAGAGAGAGAGAGAGAGAGAGAGAGAGAGAGAGAGAGAGAGAGAGAGAGAGAGAGAGAGAGAGAGAGAGAGAGAGAGAGAGAGAGAGAAGAGAGAGACTAGAGAGAGATGAGAGAGAGAGAGAGAGAGAGAGAGAGAGAGAGAGAGAGAGAGAGAGAGAGAGAGAGGGAAGAGAGAGAGAGAGAGAGAGAGAGAGAGAGAGAGAGAGAGAGAGAGAGAGAGAGAGAGAGAGAGAGAGAGAGAGAGAGAGAGAGAGAGAGAGAAGAGGAGAGAGAGAGGAGAGAGAGAGAGAGAGCTGGGCAACTGATAGAATTAAGATGTCAGCTCTCATTCATGATGCCATGCTGCAGAGGTACCCCTGTGGCAGCTCTTATCTATGTGATCCTCTCATCAATCACCTTGAGCCCAAACTCAGGAATGTCCTTGTCTTCCATCCGCAGGACAATGTTGGAGAGCCAGGCCAGCTCCAGGCACCACCATGGACCTGGCTGTACTGGCCGCCACTCTGTTGCTTGCGATGGGACCTTGCCCTTGCTGATGGGGACAGATGGATGTCCCTTACATAACACAGCTGATGCGTTGGGTAGGATTTCTCACTGGTTTCATCTGGGTTCTTGTTAAGAGAGAGAACAAAAAAGGTTTGAAATACTGGAAAATAGACCATTGCACTGGGTTTTTCCCATGTGGGTTTTTCTCTCACCTCCGATCAGCTCCTTACCTACCAGATATATGTCACACAATGCACAAAATACAAGCTCCATTGATGATTGGAACGGGTAGACAATTCTTTCACCCCAAGAAATCTTTGAGGATTAAAAAACTCAGAACCCAGAAACTTCCAGAAAAATCCTTTAAAAAAAATAATAATTTTACAGTCCCTGAACCTTTAATAAAAAATTATTTATATAGATTTAAGATATCGGTTTGGAAATATAAATGAAGAAGAATTATCGATAGTCACAAATGGAATAGAGAATGAAATGAATACATAACTAACTGTGCAATCCCTGAAGGTGACTTATGATAGGATAAGGACTAAATTTAAAAAAAAATAGATTTTTAAAATAACCGACCCCCCCCCCCCCCCCCCCCCCCCCCCCCCCCAATAACCCCCCCCCCCCCCCCCCCCCCCCCCCCCCCCCAACTCCCTTTCAATTCATTGCGATGTTTTAAGTATAAGTAAAGGACCCTTTTCCATGCTTTTAGGCATGTAGGGCTAGACCTATATTTTATAGACCAATCGGCAAAAGATGAGTGATGTGGTCAGCATTACTCCAGCCGCCTTTACTTCCCGGGACTGTACCCGGTACCCACTCAAGGCTGGGTCAACCTGAGAGTCAAGATCATTTAAAAAAAAAAAAAAAGCTTGGCTCCGCCAGGGAGCAAACCCACGACCTTCCGATCCGCAGGTGAGCATCTAGCCGATCCGCCATGGCATTGCTATGTTTAGTAAACATAATCTTACCAGGCATTTCTAAGATAGCACAGCATGACAAGATCAAAGCCAGATAATTGGCCTAGCATGCACTGGCCAGAATCATGTAACTGAGATATTGGCTACTCTAGCATTTGTAACTGACAAAGCTAGAAAATTGACCTTTGTGGGCAAAAAGTAATGTTAAAACATATATCAGAAATATTGTTTAAAAATATATAGCGACAGCTGTAGATTTCTCTTTGACCTTAGTATTGAATGTCTGTGTTTCCCCCTCCGGACTGCTGCTGAAAGTTTGACTACAAGAACATCATCCTGGATGGCAGACTAACAGCACAAATCCCAGATACCGTGTTCAACCTCATAGGAAGTTATATTTAATTCACCTGTAGTGCACCACAAGGTGTACCTTGCAGTTCTGTGTTTGGCTAAAAATGTTCAGTTGGTGTACTGTTGTTTCAGAAATGGTTCAGAGGAGAAGGTTCAAACAAAAGAGTCATGATTGTTCCTACTCATCCACCTTAGCTGCACAGGGCTCCACAACATCCTCTATCTCGTCAACAACTTCTGACGAGTCGGCCCGTCTAAGGAGAGTCAGCTTTGCCTCGGAAGTCTCATTTCATTCGCCCCAACAGTCTCCGCACTGCTCACCAAAGAAACAAACTGAGAACACTCAGAAGAGCAGGCAGGCTGAAACCATAGAACTGTCAGGCGAGACTCTGACTTCATGTGCTCTTGAAGGAGGGAAGAAGAGTCCGCAGAAGCATGCAGAGGCAGGAAAGAAAGGTCAGTAGACTGAATGTTGAATTCAAAATCAACATAATTGCACTCGGGACATTTCCATAAGCACTCTGTCCCCTTATTCAGCAGCATGTGTAGAGTTCCAATTCTAATGGCACCAGCAACCGGCTGATTTTGTATCCATCTCCTTTTCCTTTAAGATTCCCCTGGTCACTCCTCGAAAACAGCAGATACAGTTGCCAGCCACACAATATCAGGTCCGAAAAGGAAGCAGTGGTAGGTCAGCGGCTAGAGGCTTGTCTGCCAACCTGACAGTATCCGTTTCATTTCCACAATGGTATGAATGTTCTTAAATAATTGACCTTGGCTTCCAGATTGACTGGGCTTAAAATGGGTGCAAGGTATTGTCCTGGGAAGTCAAAGTAACCAGCTTGATTTGAACCATATCAGCATGAAGTGCCAGTTGGTCTGTAAGAATGTATGTCTAAAATCATTTGCCTGGTATGACACTGCCATAAAAAAGTCTTTACTTACCAGGGAGGCAAAGAATTATAACTAGCCATGCATTTGGAGAATGAAAGGTTGTAAATTAATTAATTATAGGACGAGCTTAGATGTTTTGGAAGAATGGATTTCAGTTACTGTAACAGCCATGTTGGCCCATGGGTTATGAATGCAGTTTCATAATTAAAGCATCTCAGGTTCTGTTTAGCTGCAGGATTAGCAGCTGCTTGCTTTGCAATAATTTCAACACACATGGGGGTATTCTGTAATAATATTTGTTAAATGACTTCAGTTAGTTGTCATGTGTGGCCCTCATGACACAAATGTGACCCATATGGCCCTCATTGGACCCTCAGTTTGACATACCTGCTTTACAGAACATTGTTCTCGTCATGGCATGCTGAAAGTCTCTCTTTCTGTAGCCATTTCTCCAACTCTATGTGCTTTCATAGCCATTGCAAGTTTAATGTCCGTTTTCCGTTTTCATTGAGGTCTGCCTGTGCCTCATGTTAATGGCAAACTACTGAATGTAAATATTGTTCATTGAAACAGCAAACAGCCAGAAATGGGGTTATGTTGCAACATCCTATAAAAGTTATGCAACCAACTTTTTAGAAAAAGCACAGCTTCACAATTATTTGATTTAAACTCATAATATTTTATATTTTTTTGCACCAAACTGAATGGAGAACAATCTCCAAGAATACAAAATTGTTTAATCTTGGGTGCTTTCTTAATATCCTTCTCAAACAGGGGAAATCCACAGGTCACGGGACAGTCAAATATTTCAGAGGGGTGGTAGTTAGGCTGCATGCAGTCGTGGGACCTAGGCTGCACTCTCTCGTGGAACGTAGGTGGGTTGGGGTTAGGGCTAGTTCTTAATGTTTTTAGGGTCGGTAACTGCATCAGAAAGCCGGTAAACCCAGTCTTACCACCCTTTAAAATGTTGGACTGTCCTGTAAGGTCAGTAGAGTGTCACCACAAACCACATATTTCACTAACAGGTAAACCCAGCAGTGCTAAACATCTGAAGACAAAGTCCAGAGACAAAGCACTGGCTGCACTTGTGCGTCGAGGCTCATCTCCGGGGAAAACCAGCATCAAAAGACCAAGAGAACCGGCAGGTCCTCCAGCAGCAGAGACTGTTGTGGAACCGGAGGCTATACTTCTGGAAAGGAACAATGTTTGTAAGTAGCTCATGCTTGGCTTGGATACCCCCCCCCCCCCCCTTTTTCCCAAAGTAAACCTTAAACCATGTTACACTTCCTTTAATGTAAGCCTCAGTTATAATTGTGGTCACTAGCCTTTGTTTTTCTTGTTTCCTACTTTGAGGCAAATGCCTAGGCCCTAGTTTTCCTGTCCTTGCTTGCCACCCATGTCTGTCATGCTCAGAGCCCGTGAGGTTTCCACTGTTTTATGGAGGACGCTTCCTGGTAGTCCTGATAAGGACTGGTACATTTGAGTTCCAACTGAGCTTCTTTTGCAGTGCACTTGGTCATCTGAGCTGAACCAACTCACGCCAGGTTGTTCCTCAACCAACTCACGCCAGGTTGTTCCTCAACCAACTTAGGCCAGGTTGTTCCTCAACCAACTCACTCGAGGTTGTTCCTCACCCAGCTTACGCCAGGTTGTTCCTCACCCAGCTTACGCCAGGTTGTTCCTCAACCAACTTACGCCAGGTTGTTCCTCAACCAACTTACGCCAGGTTGTTCCTCAACCAACTTACGCCAGGTTGTTCCTCAACCAACTTACGCCAGGTTGTTCCTCAACCAACTTACGCCAGGTTGTTCCTCAACCAACTGACGCCAGGTTGTTCCTCACCCAACTCACGCCAGGTTGTTCCTCAACCAACTCACGCCAGGTTGTTCCTCAACCAACTCACTCGAGGTTGTTCCTCAACCAACTCACGCCAGGTTGTTCCTCACCCAGCTTACGCCAGGTTGTTCCTCAACCAGCTTATGACAGGTTGTTCCTCACCCAGCTTATGACAGGTTGTTCCTCAACCAGCTTATGACAGGTTGTTCCTCACCCAGCTTACGCAGGTTGTTCCTCAACCAGCTTATGACAGGTTGTTCCTCACCCAGCTTATGCCAGGTTGTTCCTCACCCAGCTTATGACAGGTTGTTCCTCACCCAAATTATGCCAGGTTGTTCCTCAACCAACTCACGCCAGGTTGTTCCTCAACCAGCTTACGCCAGGTTGTTCCTCAACCAGCTTACGCCAGGTTGTTCCTCAACCAACTCACGCCAGGTTGTTCCTCAACCAACTCACGCCAGGTTGTTCCTCAACCAACTCACGCCAGGTTGTTCCTCAACCAACTCACGCCAGGTTGTTCCTCACCCAGCTTACACCAGGTTGTTCCTCACCCAGATTACACCAGGTTGTTCCTCACCCAGCTTACGCCAGGTTGTTCCTCACCCAGCTTACACCAGGTTGTTCCTCACCCAGCTTACGCCAGGTTGTTCCTCACCCAGCTTACACCAGGTTGTTCCTCACCCAGCTTACACCAGGTTGTTCCTCACCCAGCTTACGCCAGGTTGTTCCTCACCCAGCTTACGCCAGGTTGTTCCTCACCCAGCTTACACCAGGTTGTTCCTCACCCAGCTTACGCCAGGTTGTTCCTCACCCAGCTTACGCCAGGTTGTTCCTCAACCAACTTACATCAGGTTGTTCCTCACCCAGCTTACGCCAGGTTGTTCCTCAACCAGCTTACGCCAGGTTGTTCCTCAACCAACTCACGCTAGCTTGTTCCTCACCCAGCTTACACCAGGTTGTTCCTCACCCAGCTTACACCAGGTTGTTCCTCACCCAGCTTACGCCAGGTTGTTCCTCAACCAGCTTACGCCAGGTTGTTCCTCAACCAACTCACGCTAGGTTGTTCCTCACCCAGCTTACACCAGGTTGTTCCTCACCCAGCTTACACCAGGTTGTTCCTCACCCAGCTTACGCCAGGTTGTTCCTCAACCAACTTACGACAGGTTGTTCCTCAACCAACTCACGCCAGGTTGTTCCTCAACCAGCTTACGCCAGGTTGTCTCTAAACCAACTCACGCCAGGTTGTTTCTCACCCAACTCACGCCAGGTTGTTCCTCAACCAGCTTACGCCAGGTTGTTTCTTAACCAACTCACGCCTGGTTGTTCTTCAACCAACTACGCCAGGTTGTTCCTCAACCAACTCACGCCAGGTTGTCTCTAAACCAACTTACGCCAGGTTGTTCCTCAACCAACTCACGCCTGGTTGTTCCTAAACCAAATCACGCCCGGTTGTTTCTTAACCAACTTACACCAAGTTGTTTCTCAACTAACTCAGGCCAGGTTGTATTATCTCTTGGTGCCATGTGTGGCTCAGCCAGTCTTTCCCATCTTTTTCCACTTTGCTTACTTGCTGCCTGTGTTTTTCAGGTCAGCTTTTATTCCTTCTTCTGGGTACCTTCTTCTTTTCTGAACTCCTGGAATGCCTCGCAGCATTATGAGTCTGTGGGTTCTGGTGCAAGTATATTCAAATTAAATTGTTGCCAGGTTTTCCCAGTGTGTGTTGTACATAACAGCAGCCACTTTTTCCTCTACTGGTGATTCACTGGAATGTATTTTGTTCCCTTCTGGAACCTCTAGATTAGGGATTCTGTTACACCATTTAATGTCTTTTATTTTGCACAGACCCTAATTAATTAATGTTAGTTTCATACAATCAGAGTTTTCTTTCATCTTCTGCAGGACTTGAGAATTTCTTCTTCTGCTTCTTCTTACTGTTCAGCAGCTGTAAACTCTGGCGGAAAGTTCTGGTTGTTCTGTTCTTTCACATTTGGACTTTGTTCTTGTTCCAGTACTTGAGTTTTGTATTCACATCCATTGTGCAGATCTGGCTGGTTTGTTTGCCTCTCAGGCAGAGGCACTCCGACTTTGAAGGCAACACTTTGAAAGGATTTGTGAATGTGTTAATGATATCATGGAGCCCTTCACTTTGTTCTTTATGGAAACCGCTGCACTAGATATTTATTTGGTTACTTCTATCTTTATAATAGACTGGGCCTTTTTCTGATATTTCTTTGATCTTTCACTGTAAGTAAAGTAAAGATCTCTTTTCACGTCTTTAGGCGCATCAGGGATATAGGAAGAGCACCCATATTTGTGCAGACCAATCGGCACTAGGTGGGTAATGTTGTCAGCATTACGCCGGCCCTCTTTACTTTCCCAGGACATTCATCCGGGTACACATTTTTAGGCTGGGTCGACCTGCGACACCCCATACCATAATAAAATCCACACAGCCAGCAGTGGGTTTCGATTGCGGTATGTTGGAATTACGAGTCGGACTTGCAGCGCCTAAGCCACTGAATCTGTTTTTCTGTTATTTCTGTCATTGTTATTTACTGAATTTTTTGTTCTGTTATTTGTGTCATTGTAATACACCGAGTTTATTGTTTCTCTTATTTGTGTCATTGAGTACACTAAATTTGTTGTTCCTATTATTTCTATCATTGTAATACATTGAACACGTGTCCTGTTATTTCTACGAGTGTTCTCTGTTTGTTTCAGTGTTGTTGACAGGGATCTGCCAGGCTGCCGACTCCATGCTCAAACATTTTGCTCAAGCTAAGGACCCTTTTGAGAAGGTGAGACTTCAGATACACTTCAGACACATTGAACTTTACTTGTTTATTCTTTCATTCCAGCTTGCTTTCTCTATCTCTTGTTTTCCTCAGTCAGTCTGCAACTTCTTTTGTCTTTTAGCTTTTTCAAAAGGGTTGAGTTGGGCTAGTTCACATCCTTATGTTATCTGAGCAGTTGTTGTCTGAGCAGCTATGTCTCTTCTTTTGATCTTTTATCTCTTGATCCTGTCTTGCCATTTGTAAACTGATCTTTCCTCTCTTGATTTTTCATCTGTTGATACTTTCCTTCCATTTGTAAAGTGATCTATCCTCACTTGATGTTTTATCTCTTGATACTATCTTTGTAAAGTGATATGTCATCACTTGATGTTTTATCTCTTCATGCTATCTTGTCATTTGCAAAGTGATATTTCCTCACTTGATGTTTAATCTTTTGATGCTATATTGTCATTTGTAAAGTGATCTTTTCCCACTTGATGTTTTGTCTCTTGACGCTATCTTGCCATTTGTAAGCGGATATTTCCTCTTTTGATCTTTTATCTCATGATGCTATCTTGCCATTTGTAAAATGATCTTTCCTCTTTTAATCTTTTATTTCTTGATGCTATCTTGCCAGTTATAAAGTGATCTTTCTTTACTTGATGTTTTATATCTTGATGCATCTTGTCATTTGTAAAGTGATCTTTCCTGACTAGGCTATTTTATGTTTTCTTGTCATTTGTAAAATGATCTTTCCTCACTTGATGTTTTATTTCTTGATGTTGTCTTGCCATTTGTTAAGGGATCACTTGATATTTTATCTCTTGATGTTGTTTTGTCATTTATAAAATGATCTTTCTTCACACGATGTTTTGTATATGGATGCTATCTTGCCAGTTGTAAAGTGATATTTTCTCTCTTGATGTTATGTTGTCAGTATTGTCAATATCGTCTTTTCATAATCTTTCATCTCTTGGTGGTTTGATTTTTGTTTAACCATTTGTAAAGTTGTAACATTTCTTGTTGTTATCTTACCATTTGTAAAGTTGTGTCTCCTGTCTTGAGGTTGTCTTGCTGCTTATAAAGTTGTGTTCTATCTCTTGGTTTCATCTGAACATTTGCAGCATTGTCTTTTAGGCCATCTGAAATCTCCATGTGGATTCTGTGACCCCCATTTGGGAAGGGAATTTTAATAGGCAGCAACATATCATAAAAGATGACTAATTAGGATTGGTTGAAACAGGTACTGCAGCAACCACTCTTTTATGCCAAAGACAGAAAAAGGTGATGAACGAAAATAGAACAAACATTTCTTTAAAAAATCCAGAAATTAAGAAATAGCTTAGGGTTAGATTTCTAATAAGAGTTAGTTCCTGCAACAGTTTGTAGACAGGCTAAATATAGAAAACTGCTGGTTACAGGTTAACTAATTTGGTACTAGGCAACTCACCATGCATTTATTAATAATTCAATTTGAGTGCATTTACTAGTTTATAGTAAAAACTGCTTGGTATAAATCGTGTAAATGTAACAATTGGCCGGATTGCATCATGTATACAAGTTTTTGGAAAAAAAAACAGAAACATAGCATGGGTAAAGCCTGAAAATTAGTTAGTTAAATACTTAGTTGACAGATTAACCTCACTGCCAATCAAACTGTTCAGTGCATAAGCTCCCTGAGTAGGTTCCAAGTCCCCATTATGGGGAAAACAAGAATAGACCCACTGTCTTCCCAACAAACATGTCGTAGGAGTCAACTAACTGGGGACTTCCTTCAACATCAGACTGCCCAAATGACAAGGAACAACAAACTGCACAAAGATAAGCCAGTAAAATGGATGCACAGGCCAAACTGAGGCCCTGGCACAAAGCCAAAGTCCAGATTCATGAACAACCAGGACTTTCTGCTGGAGCTTACAGCTGGTGAACATAGAAGAAGAAGGTTCTTAAGTGCTTGGACCCTTTCTCAGAAGATCCTACAGCCTGTAACGGCTTACGACACCCATTCTTTATTGGTTTATTCTTCTTTGGCTTCCTGTATAGTGTTCCTGTCTAGCCACACCCCTTTTAACTTGCTGTCTGAAAATTTAAATGGAAACAAGGAAAATATTTAGCTCTACTTACTGTGTAATTGTAGTTGAGACTGGGGAGCTCCGTGGATACCCCAGAGGTGGCAGCACTGGTGTACTGTGAGCTATGCCCAGCTGTGGAGAGAGTCATCGCCCATGGCATGAGGGATTTTGAGACTGGTGTCCACATTTTTGGCAAGGTGAAACTCTCGCCCTGGAGGCTGGCTGAAATGACTGCTGAATTAGGTGAGTCAATTGTTGCGGCTTTGATGATGATGTTGTAGTGTTTTGTTAATTTGTTTTTGTTGTAGTTTTGACGTTTTTGTTGTTTAAAAATTGTTTACAAAGCTGAGCTGATATAAGCCGATGCATTGATGTTCAGTTTGTCCAAGCTTTGTTAACTCTTGCAGCACCAGAAGATTTTGTTTTACATACTGAAGGTGATAAGAGCATGAGTGTCATACTTTCAAAGAGAAAACATTATATGCTGTATGTTATCATATCTAGCCAGATTTCTTTAGATTGCTCAAACCAAATGTAAAATATGTAATGACACACTGTTCGTTGTTTGATACACACTGATTATTGCTGATCACATAACTGTATGTTGGCTGGGACAGAAAGAGGGATTCATTCGCTGTAAACTCTGGTGGAAAGTTCTTATTGCTTCTCCACTCTGGACTTTATTCTTGTTCAGGAACTTGAGTTTTGCATGCACATCCTTTTTACAGATCTGACATTTATAAGCAGGCTGTTGGTTTCCTGCCTCTCTGAGTTGGTTACTTGCCTCTCTGACTTTCAAGGAAAAACCTAATTAGTCAACTCTTAGGACATGCTTGTTAGGGAGGCAAGTGGGTCTGTTTTTGTTTTCTGCATAACGGGGCCCTGAAACCGAAACGAGGAGTTAAAAAAAATAAATAAGCAGCAAGAGTAAGGAGTGACGTGTGAAATGTTGGTCAGTTTGTGAACATACACAATCTGATGTTGTTACCAGGTCCCTACACGCGGCCGCTGCATGACCTGGCCAAGAGTTTGAGGCAGAAGCAGAGTCTGGTTTCCAGCAGGCACAGATTCTATGCCTTTGTGGCAGGATTGCTCAAGTAGGAGTTTGCTTGTTGTTAGTTTTTTGTGTCTGTGTTTGTCACTTCAGTGTATTCCTTAAAATTGCTTGTTGTTAGTTTTGTGTTGTCCTGCAGTGTATTTCTTGTTTTTTTCTCTACCTCCTACTACTGGCTACTGCTATAACTCATTTTTCTCTTTCTTCCTTCTCTTCTAGGTGATTTTTTTTTGTTAAACCGCCCTTCACCACCTTCCCTCTTTCATCTATGTTATTTTCTCTCTGTCTTCTTTTTTTTTTTTTTAATTTTAATTTTTTTTTATTTTGATTAAATTGTTTTTAATTTCTGTTTTTAAACAAAATCTTTGTCCTGTTATTTTTCAGTGCCTTTTTCTATCCCATTCTTGTATAGAGTTTTCACTTCTCTTCTATAATGTCCCATGTTCATTTCTCTTCTTCTATGTAATTGTTTTCTGCCTCTTCTCCTGTGTACGTTTCTCCTTCTCTACTGTGTGAAAAGTCTTAAAACATTTATGAGGTATCTGTAGAGCTTCTTCTTCTTCTTTTTTTCTCTACTCCTGGAATGCTTCATAGAGTCAGAGCAAGAAGAGCTATCTTACAGTTTATAACTATTGTTTAGATGTAAAATTAGCAGTTAGGTTAGTTGCATATCCTTCACAGGACATTGCAGAACCAACCCCAACTGCCCCTGGCGGTTGTGTGGTTTTTCTAGGCAAATTTACGTCCAGTAGTTTGCCAGTGCTTTCTGGTCGGTCAGCTTTCTTGATACCACTGTCAAAACCAACGTAAGGCGCATGGCCCGCAGCTAAGATCGAACCCGGAAACTCGGCATTACGAAGCGTTCGCATCAACTTAGCCACAGAGCCGACAAAATTAGCAGCAAAAAAATAAAAAAAATATGGGGGAAAAATAAGTCTAAATGAGATGTAGAATAGTCACCAGTAAAACACAGCCATCAGTGACAGTATGTACATTGGTTAGAAAGCCATTGTCATCAGACACAGTCATGAATGACAGTATGAACATTGGTTAGAAAGCCATTGTCATCAGACATCGCAGATGGACAGTGTAATATTTTATATGATTGTATATTATTATTGTTTAGTTGATTGCAGTGTTTAAGTTGTCAGTTTTTCTGCCATCCAGTCTTAGACTGCTCGATTTCTGGCTGGGCTACATCCGCTGTAAAGAGAACCTTATGCTGAGAGTCTACTTTGAAGATGCTTGTCTGCGAGCCAGTCTGAAGGTACGTACAGACTTGTTTCCATTATACATTCATTGTTGTATAGACATTTTCTCATCCACCCTTTGGTGATAAATTGATGCATGACAAGCCAGATGTGTTTAAGGCCCTTTGGAAGGGAATGAACAGTGCAGAAGCAGACAGATCATTATGGTCTGGACAGAATGTTACATTCAGTGTTCAGAGGAAGGACAAGACAGACATGCAAACCTATGAAGATGGGGACAGAGCTCTTATAAAAATGTCCCAAGTGCTGAAATGTTGGTTCTTAACAACTCGGCATTCATTCAAAACAATGTTTTCCTGTAATAAATCTGATTAATGTAGACACAAACAATACATTGCACAGTTTATTGCCAGGCGTATTTTGCTGTATCTTGTCAGGTGCATTTCTGCAGAGTTGTATCAACATAAAATGAAGCACAACAAATTAAATAAATCCAACTAAAATGTGCATAGTTTTTTTTTGGCGATGCATAGTATTTGTCTAGTCACCGGAAGTTCACTGTAGTCACATGACTTACTAGGGTAACTTCAAATTTACTATAAATTCCTTCTGCTTACAAAGGAGAGGGTTGTTGATTTCAATTGTTAAAGCTTCGACCATTTGTAGCAGTTGCCTGTTTGGTGTGTGGTAAACCACACCACTAGCTCTCATTGTCTCCACTGTCCCACTATGGAGCCAGATCACTTGATTCTGCAGTAACACATTGTCGTCATTATCCTGTTTTGCTGTTCATATGTCACAAGGGTTCAGTCTGATTCAGTGGTTCTCAACCTATTGGTCGCGATCCCTTTGGGGGTCGAATGACCCTTTTACAGGGGTCACCCAAGGCCATCGGAAAACATATTCAGCGACATTTTGAAGTAGAAACGAAAATAATTGTATTGTTGGGGGTCACCACAACATGAGGAACTGTATTAAGGGTCACTTCATTAGGAAGGTTGAGAACCACTGTTCTGTTACTTCAATCTGTTCAGTCTAATTCCTTCTGTCCGTTCTACTGTGTGCCATCCTGTCCAAGATAGGAAAAACTGTTCACTTGTTTTAATTTTTCTCTATTTACTTTGCTATTCACTACTGGCCACTTCTTTAAATTGTTAATGATATCAAAGATCGTTGCAGTACAGTGCACAAATTGGGGGATGCAGACGTGCATCACTGCCTCTGCTAGTTCACTAGGACCAGGGCTGAAACTGGTCAAGACCTGCCTTCACCTCTCTAGGGTCATCCCAGAAACGGGTTTCCATCTGGGGGCCTGGACAATATAGATAGGGTTAGCATTGTCTTTACAGTCAGAGCACATCTGCCTAAGAGGTAAGGAACCAACAGTCTGCACACAAAATAGCCAGATCTGTCAAATGGATGGGCACATAAAACTTGGGTTCTAGAACAAAACCAGTTCTAGAACTGGATTAACAGCCAGAACTTTCTGCTTTAGTTTGCTGGTGAACAAGAAGAAAAAGAAGATGGATCACATTGCCAGGTGAACCACCAAGACTTTCATTCAGAGTCTGCAGCTGGTGAACAACAAGAAGAAAAAAAAAGATGGATCACAAAGCCAGGGGAACCACCAAGACTTTCATTCAGAGTCTGCAGCTGGTGAACAACAAGAAGAAAAAAAAGATGGATCACAAAGCCAGGTGAACCACCAAGACTTTCATTCAGAGTCTGCAGCTGGTGAACAAGAAGAAAAAGAAGATGGATCACAATGCCAGGTGAACCACCAAGACTTTCATTCAGAGTCTGCAGCTGGTGAACAACAAGAAGAAAAAAAGATGGATCACAAAGCCAGGTGAACCACCAAGACTTTCATTCAGAGTCTGCAGCTGGTGAACAAGAAGAAAAAGAAGATGGATCACAATGCCAGGTGAACCACCAAGACTTTCATTCAGAGTCTGCAGCTGGTGAACAACAAGAAGAAAAAAAAGATGGATCACAAAGCCAGGTGAACCACCAAGACTTTCATTCAGAGTCTGCAGCTGGTGAACAACAAGAAGAAAAAAAAGATGGATCACAATGCCAGGTGAACCACCAAGACTTTCATTCAGAGTCTGCAGCTGGTGAACAAGAAGAAGAAATATAATTATTTTAGTATAGAAAGTGTTCAGTAACAACTTACCTGAAGATTGAAAGAGCCAGCAGTCTGGGTTTTATTGTAGGGTACACTGGAGCAGTCTTACAGTAACATGTTGCTGACCCTTCGACCGTTGGCTGTCCTGCCGTTCCAGCTGGACTTTGCCCCAGTGACCACACTTGTCATGAGTGACAGTATAACAATGACAGCATCCATGTCCAACATGGAGGTGAGTATATTTAATCATCAGCATCATCACTACAGTCACCGCCTCCATTATCATTATCATCATATCATCATCATATCATCATCAAGTGCTTATCTTACTGGACCTTGCCCCGGTGACCACACTTGTCAAGAGTGACAGCATTACGAGTACAGTGTCCATGTTCAACTTAGAGGTTTAAGTAAGTATTACCATCACTAACATCATCCTGATCACTTTCATCATCATCATCATCACTGTCTTTGAAAATGTTTTAATACATTGCTTTAGGGTGATTTCTGTCATTGGGCCTCTTATTTATGTCCTTGTTTTCTACTGAGTACGTGTCTGGTGTGGTGTTGACCACATCACCCATCGAGTGCCAGTTGGTTTACTAAATAAAAACACATGAGTTCAGTACCATATGCCCAGGGTGTGGATGACCTAAGGTCAACTTTGATGGTTCTTCACAGGACATTGCTCTGGTCACTGAGTGTAGGACATTGCTCTGGTCACTGAGTGTAGGACATTGCTCTGGTCACTGAGTGTAGGACATTGCTCTGGTCACTGAGTGTAGGACATTGCTCTGGTCACTGAGTGTAGGACATTGCTCTGGTCACTGAGTGTAGGACATTGCTCTGGTCACTGAGTGTAGGACATTGCTCTCGTCACTAAGTGTAGGACATTGCTCTCGTCACTGAGTGTAGGACATTGCTCTGGTCACTGAGTGTAGGACATTGCTCTCGTCACTGAGTGTAGTACATTTCTCTGGTGACTGAGTGTAGGACATTGCTCTGGTCACTGAGTGTAGTACATTGCTCTCGTCACTGAGTGTAGGACATTGCTCTCGTCACTGAGTGTAGGACATTGCTCTCATCACTGAGTGTAGTACATTGCTCTGGTCACTGAGTGTAGAACATTGCTCTCATCACTGAGTGTAGGACATTGCTCTCGTCACTGAGTGTAGGACATTGCTCTCATCACTGAGTGTAGGACATTGCTCTCGTCACTAAGTATAGGACATTGCTCTGGTCACTGAGTGTAGGACATTGCTCTCGTCACTGAGTGTAGGACATTGCTCTGGTCACTGAGTGTAGGACATTGCTCTGGTCACTGAGTGTAAGACATTGCTCTCGTCACTGAGTGTAGTACATTGCTCTGGTCACTGAGTGTAGGACATTGCTCTCGTCACTGAGTGTAGGACATTGCTCTGGTCACTGAGTGTAGTACATTGCTCTGGTCACTGAGTGTAGGACATTGCTCTCGTCACTGAGTGTAGGACATTGCTCTGGTCACTGAGTGTAGGACATTGCTCTCGTAACTGAGTGTAGTACATTGCTCTGGTCACTGAGTGTAGGACATTGCTCTCGTCACTGAGTGTAGGACATTGCTCTCGTCACTGAGTGTAGGACATTGCTCTGGTCACTGAGTGTAGGACATTGCTCTGGTCACTGAGTGTAGGACATTGCTCTGGTCAATGAGTGTAGGACATTGCTCTGGTCACTGAGTGTAGGACATTGCTCTGGTCACTGAGTGTGGGACATTGCTCTGGTCACTGAGTGTAGGACATTGCTCTCGTCACTGAGTGTAGTACATTGCTCTGGTCACTGAGTGTAGGACATTGCTCTGGTCACTGAGTGTCCCTCTTTCGCAAGCCACTTCTCCAGCTGTGTGTGCTTTCATAGCCAGTGCATCTTCATTGTCTTGTGTACATTTTTGTGGAGGTCTGCCCTGCCTTACATCTTTGTGGAGGTCTGCCCTGCCTTACATCTTTGTGGAGGTCTGCCCTGCCTTACATCTTTGTGGAGGTCTGCCCTGCCTTACATCTTTGTGGAGGTCTGCCCTGCCTTACATCTTTGTGCAGGTCTGCCCCCTCTTGTTTTCTGGAAACTACCCTTGTACCCTCCATCACCCTTCTCTGTAGACCATTGTGACATTGTACATTGTCAAAATACCTCAGCTTTGGGGACACGATTCTGTTCAACCTGGTATTAAAGAATTTGTCTATAGCATTTCAGTTCAAAAGCTTTGATCTGTCTGTTTATATACATTATTATTATTATTATTAACATGGTTATCTTGTTTTTTCCTCAGGGCACACCAGTCAGAGAGTTGAACCACCTTGGTGCATTCAAGAGTAGTGCTGGGCTTGTAGAAGGAAGCTTCACTGAAGGCGTCAACCAGCAGACAGGAACATCAGCCCCATTGTCAGTTACAGCCAAGGGCAAGGGTACATCTTCACCATCCGCAGGCAGCTCTGCCTGGAAATGGTTCAAGAATCCCTCCATTTCAAATGCTCTAGCTTCTGTCGCTGCCAAGATTACTACAGGAGGAGGACCTTCATCCAAGACAAATCTAGATGAAGAGAAGACAGTCTCAGATGGGGAGAAGAAAGAGGGTGAAGCCAAGGACAATAGGGAAATAGAGAAGCAGAATACTGATGCTGGTCGACAGAATAACAATGAGAGTAAAGGATCGTCAGGGTATATTGAAGTGCCAGCCGATATGTCTCTTCCAGCTGTTGTCAGGGATCATAGCAGCCCAGTAGAGAGGCTGGGGATCTGTGAAACTTCAGATCTCTTTATTCTAGAAGAGGGGACCAGTTATAGCTGTGTTAGTGCCGACACATTGTCTCAGATAAACCTGGTCAAACATGAAATGGCTAATGATCACGATAGCAAGAAGAACCTGTTAAAGCTGCAAAGGGAGACACTAGAGCTATCTAAGGGATTGTGTCAGTATGGGGGTGAGTTGTTCAGCTTGGACAGAGGCATTACAAATGAAAATTATAGAGATTATGATGCTTCTGAGAGTGGTCCAAATAGGGGGGATGGTGTGATTAAGACGAGTGGCCCGGTAGTTGGAAAATGTGAAGCTCAGCAGAGAGATGGTATGCTGGGAAATGGGGATGCCAGCAGGGGTTGTGGACAGAAAGTCAGCCTTGAGAGGGATCTTGCTGGCGGTGATGGTAACTCAGGAAAATATATTGTAGATTGTTTTACTGGAGAAACAGAAGCCAAGGGAGATCATTCTGAAAGTTCTGGGATGAGTCAGCTGAAAACAATGGGAAAGGAGGCTTTTACACTTGCAGCAGAAAATAAGACACTGGGACTGCCACAGGGCAAACATCAAGTTTCAGGTTTGACTGAATCAAAGTCTCAGGGGCAGACACAAGGCAGAGATCAGGTTTTAGGCTCAACAGAAGCCAAGCCTGATGCCAAAGGTCAGCTTTCAGGTCTAATTAAAGCCACATCTCAGGTGCAGACACAAGGCAGTGAATCGGTTTTAGATTTACCTGAAGTTAAGCCTAAAACTGGTGGCGGTGGGCAGAGTCCGAAGCCTGCTGTGAAATCTCAAGTTCAGCCTCAGAAAAAGTCACCTAGATCTGGCTTTAGTTTATTGTCCTTCTTTGACAGAATACTTCTACCTCACGATAAGAACAAGCACACGGGAGAGAAGGCTGCTAACAAGAACAGTGATGATGCAGAAGAGAAAATTGACGATAGTGAAAGAGTTGCCAGTGAAAGCAACGGTGATACCAAAGTAGTTATTACAGGTGAAACAGAGCTTTCACCCTCTGTTCCACACAGCCTGTCAGCCTCTCCAAAACCTGATCTTGTCACAGATCAGCCTGAGTCAGTCATGGACAGTTCAGAGGTTGTACCTCAAGTTCCTGACAACTCAGATCTGAACAAGAAAAACGAGGAGGAGGGGGAGGAGCCAACCAGTAGAATCGCATCTGTTTTCTTGAAATCAAAGGCACAGAATCTGGACACAGAACAGATTATTCAGGAAGAGAAGGTAATCACTTGTAAGATCATAACCACAGCCGGGGCTGTGAGAAACACAAGTGCTGAACTCTTTCCTAAATCAAGGCCAGCCTCCGCATTTGTGGATCGAGAAATTGACCGTTCTGATGCTGGAGAAAGCCAGACTGGCGCCAGACCTAAATCTATGTATGATATTCCCAGCTGCGACTTCCTTTCTGGACAGAGCGAGGATAGTAGCACCAGCCATGTCCTAAATAAGGACTCTGTGGATGATGTACTGAGCTGTTTCCAACACGGATCTGCAGTAAATCATGAATAGGTACCAAACCTTGATAAAATTGTTCAGTCTTAGGAGATCTTCCAGGAGGTGCTCGCATGATAAAATGCCAAAAAGAACGCGTGAGTGCATTTAAAACGTGTGACATTTGTGTATGTTAAAATACCCTGCTAGAAATCTTTAGCCAATAGACTACGGTGGTTGTGGCATGTAGAGAGAATGGCCGATAACAAGAGACAAAAACTGGGTATTCAAAAGACAAGTTATAAATCTTCCGAATGCTAAACCACATGATAGAATGCTGATGTGAGCATAGTTCCCTGAGGCTGTCCAGCTCTTCATACATGCCCCAGTCCATACACTGACCACTGTTTATATTTGATTGTTGATATAGCTATTACTCTGTTTATTGTCAGTTTTACTGCATAGAATATATATATATATATATATATATATATATATATATATATATAATATATATATATATATATATATATATATATATATATATATATATATATATATATATATATATATATATATATATATATATATATATATATATATATATATATATATATATATATATATATATATATGTATGTATGTATATATATTATATATATTTTTCAATTTCTGCTTTATAATACATGTTTCTGTCGTTTTATAAATAATCTTTGGATGTTTATGTTATAGAACAAGATGTTCATTCAAGTTTCTGTCACAAAAATGTAGATTTAAATAACGCAGACACAGTCAGTTGTACAGTTTATTGCCTGGCAGATTTTGTTGCAAGTTACCAAATACATTATGATAGTTACATCTACATATAGTGGCAGGACTGACTAAAACATCTACATATAGTGGCAGGACTGACTAAAACATCTACATATAGTGGCAGGACTGACTAAAACATCTACATATAGTGGCAGGACTGACTAAAACATCTACATATAGTGGCAGGACTGACTAAAACATCTACATATAGTGGCAGGGCCGACTAAAACATCTACATATAGTGGCAGGACTGACTAAAACACCTACATATAGTGGCAGGACTGACTAAAACATCTACATATAGTGGCAGGGCCGACTAAAACATCTACATATAGTGGCAGGACCGACTAAAACATCTACATATAGTGGCAGGACTGACTGAAACATCTACATATAGTGGCAGGACCGACTGAAACATCTACATATAGTGGCAGGACCGACTAAAACATCTACATATAGTGGCAGGGCCGACTAAAACATCTACATATAGTGGCAGGACTGACTAAAACATCTACATATAGTGGCAGGACTGACTAAAACATCTACATATAGTGGCAGGACCGACTAAAACATCTACATATAGTGGCAGGACCGACTGAAACATCTACATATAGTGGCAGGACCGACTAAAACATCTACATATAGTGGCAGGACCGACTAAAACATCTACATATAGTGGCAGGACCGACTAAAACATCTACATATAGTGGCAGGGCCGACTAAAACAGATTTTGGTCAAACCTCAGTATGCTGCTGTTGCAGTAGCTAGATGTAAGACTACTGTCATCCCTACCCAAACTCCTTCTCCTTTTCCCCTTTTCTGTTAAAGAACCACTGTCTTCATATACCCAATTCGGTTGCATTTATCAGTTTGTTAGTGCCCGTTGGATTACATCGGTTGAACGGAGAGCCAGTTGTAAGCTGAGTAACTAACTGAACATATCTCTAGTTTAGTGGACATTCTGCAAGTGCATCAACATCAGCCAAGAGGAAAGAGCCTAATTCTTTAAACGGACATCATGCTAGACTCCAGACATGTAACTGATAGGGATTGTGCCTTTCAAGTTCTGTATCACGCACTGAATAGACGGTTACTGAAATTCGCTGAAGCTGTTGCAATAGAGACAGACAGTCCTGCATTGTGTAAACAAAAAGATAGCGTGGTGAAATGAAGACTTCTGTGGTAATTGCATAGTTTATCTGGAACTTCTCTTTATTAGACATACATCGTAACAACACATAATATGATGTGTTGATTTTCATAAAAAAATTCATGTTTTGTGTTTCATTATGTGTTGATTTAACGCTGTAGTAAAGCACCTGAAGAGATACAGCAAAATATGCCTGGCATTAAATTGTGTAGTATAATGTTTGTGTGTGCATTTTTAAAATTCATAATGGAAAATTGTTTTTAATATTTATAGATGTTTATATTACCGATCTAGATCTTCATGTTACAGAACTAGATTATTATTTAGATTTCTGTAACAAAAATGTAAATCTGAAAACATAAAACTTTATAGAAATGGAACTTTATTTGCAATTCCTATTACAAATTTGTATATCTAAAAACAGAACTAGAATTGTATTGAAGTTTATGCTACAAAAATGTGTATCTGTAGATATTCTGCTACAGACTTGGAGGAGGAGGGGGGTGCAGCAAATCAGTAAGTGATTTGATTGTCTCTGAATCATCTTATTATAGCTGTTCACTGCTGGTGTTGTCTGGGCGCCGCGATCACTTGCAGGTTACGTCCAGCAGTTTTTCATCCATGACATAGGGCTGTACATAGACAAGTAAAACTGTTTCTTCTCTCATTATTTAATACTTGTTGATATTGTAATTGTTCACTTTCCTTGATGTATGTATTTTACAAGATGTCTGACATTTTGCCAAGTTGTTGACAATGGTGGCAAACAATGGATCTGGAGGAGAAACCGTCTCAGCTGTACTATATTTTACTGGGTATTGAGTTTTTTAAAATTTCTGTAAAATGTTTTTTGTTTATGATGTAATTTTACATATTTTATTGATTGCTATGTTATACCCCTTGTTTCTTTTGTTGTTGTATGTGTTTCTGCACATTTTATTACTCATCGTGTACCACATGTGATCACTGATGATACAGAGATCGTGAGCTGTGCTGATATCCTTTTCTTTCTATGTGATCTGTGGTAGGTGACCTGGCACTTACATAGATAACCGTGTGCAATAAAAATTACTTTTTACAAACCATAATTATAAGTAGCCTGTTACAAGAATATGTGATTGATAAATCAACTGTGCCATTTCCACAGTGATAGGTGGCCACAGTGTATTCGCTACTAACTCTGGTAACATTTCATGGGGAGGCTTCAGTCTCTTTCACAGTGTGACTCACACCACTGACTGCAAGCCACAGGAGCAGTTGTTTTCCTAACCACCCACTATAGGAATTGAACCCTGTAAAAAGTTTGAGGACTATTGAGATACAGTCTTCTTCTTCTTTTCTTCTCATAAGTCCTGTTCTGCGTTTCAGCATTAGGTGCCAGCCTCGGTATGTGCTAGGTGGATGCAGGTATCTGTGGCCTCAGCATGTGCTAGGTGGATGCAGGTATCTGTGGCTTGGGTATGTGCTAGGTGGATGCAGGTATCTGTGGCTTGGGTATGTGCTAGGTGGATGCAGGCATCTGTGGCTTGGGTATGTGCTAGGTGGATGCAGGTATCTGTGGCTTGGGTATGTGCTAGGTGGATGCAGGTATCTGTGGCTTGGGTATGTGCTAGGTGGATGCAGGTATCTGTGGCTTGGGTATGTGCTAGGTGGATGCAGGTATCTGTGGCTTGGGTATGTGCTAGGTGGATGCAGGTATCTGTGGCTTGGGTATGTGCTAGGTGGATGCAGGTATCTGTGGCTTGGGTATGTGCTAGGTGGATGCAGGTATCTGTGGCTTGGGTATGTGCTAGGTGGATGCAGGTATCTGTGGCTTGGGTATGTGCTAGGTGGATGCAGGTATCTGTGGCCTCGGCATGTGCTAGGTGGATGCAGGTATCTGTGGCTTGGGTATGTGCTAGGTGGATGCAGGTATCTGTGGCTTGGGTATGTGCTAGGTGGATGCAGGCATCTGTGGCTTGGGGTATGTGCTAGGTGAATGCTGGTATCTGTGGCCTCAGCATGAGCTAGGTGGATGCTGGTATCTGTGGCCTGTGTATGTGCTAGGTGGATGCTGGTATCTGTGGCCTCGGTATGTGCTAGGTGGATGCTGGTATCTGTGGCCTCGGTATTTGCTAGGTGGATGCTGGTATCTGTGGCTTCGTTTAGTGCTAGTTGGATGCTGGTATCTGTGGCCTCGTTTAGTGCTTGGTGGATGCTGGTATCTGTGGCCTCGTTTAGTGCTAGGTGGATGCTGGTATCTGTGGCCTCGTTTAGTGCTTGGTGGATGCTGGTATCTGTGGCCTCGTTTAGTGCTAGGTGGATGCTGGTATCTGTGGCCTCGTTTAGTGCTAGGTGGATGCTGGTATCTGTGGCCTCGTTTAGTGCTAGGTGGATGCTGGTATCTGTGGCCTCGTTTAGTGCTAGGTGGATGCAGGTATCTGTGGCCTGTGTATGTGCTAGATGGATGCTGGTATCTGTGGCCTCGGTATGTGCTAGGTGGATGCTGGTATCTGTGGCCTGGGTTATTCCATCTGTCCATCCCTTGTGGCTGCAACCTCTAGCTCTGCTACAGGCAGATGTACGCTGACTTGGAAGGAAACAACCACTACATTCCTGGTCTGCAATTTGTACGGTTCAATTCACACTTTATTGACAACACTTAAGTGTGGTGGAGATCATACTATCCACCTTTACTTCTGATAACATTTCCTAGTACCTGTTTTCGTGAGGGGTTACTTGGGAGACTAGGCCTGTATGTTTTTCAAGCATTCACCTTGATTGGGTTTAAAACACTTGACCACCAGTACTAGAGTAGCCAGTGTACATATGAATGCTGTAGCCTACTCGTAACCAGGACTTTTCCCTAGAAAGAAAGGTGCCGGTACTCACCACAAAGTGTCTAGAAAAAAAGTGTTGGTACTCGCTACAAAGTATCTGTTATAATTATGCTAAAATATTATGTCTAGAAAAAAACGTGCCGGTGCTGCACACCATTGTATACCACCAAGAAAAAAGCTTGCTTGTAACTATTGTCAGCCCTTTGCCAAAAGACCAGCAGCATTTGAAGTGTGATGTTACACAGGCAGGCCACAAAACTGAAGCCGTTACTCCTGTTTTAAGTTCACATCTTGGGAAGATACCAGTCAAAACAAAGATGTAGAACTGGTCTGTTTCAGGTGATCCCAATCACCACATTAACCCCATTCAAATGATGAAAGCTGTCAGCTCAACCATCTGAGACAAAGTGAGAAATAATGCTGTTAGAGAGACTGTGGAAACAACCCCATGCAGCAAATTCATTGATACATAGAACATCAGATGGTTTGGTCATCTCATCAGAATGCAGCCAAAACAGATTACCAACACAGACGCTACACATGAAGAGATCTGATGTGAAGGCAAGACATCACCCTATGAAATAATGGATTGATGACATGAAGAGATCTGATGTGAAGGCAAGACATCACCCTAGGAGATAATGGATTGATGACATGAAAGATCTGATGTGAAGGCAAGACATCACCCTAGGAGATAATGGATTGATGACATGAAAAATCTGATGGGAAGGCAAGACATCACACTAGGAGATAATGGATTGATGACATGAAAGATCTGATGTGAAGGCAAGACATCACCCTAGGAGATAATGGATTGATGACATGAAAAATCTGATGTGAAGGCAAGACATCACCCTAGGAGATAATGGATTGATGACATGAAAAATCTGATGGGAAGGCAAGACATCACCCTAGGAGATAATGGATTGATGACATGAAAAATCTGATGTGAAGCAAGACACCAACCTAGGAGATAATGGATTGATGACATGAAAAATCTGATGGGAAGGCAAGACATCACCCTAGGAGATAATGGATTGATGACATGAAAGATCTGATGTGAAGGCAAGACATCACCCTAGGAGATAATGGATTGATGACATGAAAGATCTGATGTGAAGGCAAGACATCACCCTAGGAGATAATGGATTGATGACATGAAAGATCTGATGTGAAGCAAGACATCACCCTGGGAGATAATGGATTGATGACATGAAAGATCTGATGGGAAGGCAAGACATCACCCTAGGAGATAATGGATTGATGACATGAAAGATCTGATGGGAAGGCAAGACATCACCCTGGGAGATAATGGATTGATGACATGAAAGATCTGATGGGAAGGCAAGACATCACCCTAGGAGATAATGGATTGATGACATGAAAAATCTGATGTGAAGGCAAGACATCAGCCTAGGAGATAATGGATTGATGACATGAAAAATCTGATGGGAAGGCAAGACATCACCCTGGGAGATAATGGATTGATGACATGAAAGATCTGATGGGAAGGCAAGACATCACCCTGGGAGATAATGGATTGATGACATGAAAGATCTGATGTGAAGCAAGACATCACCCTGGGAGATAATGGATTGATGACATGAAAAATCTGATGGGAAGGCAAGACATCACCCTAGGAGATAATGGATTGATGACATGAAAGATCTGATGGGAAGGCAAGACATCACCCTGAGAGATAATGGATTGATGACATGAAAGATCTGATGGGAAGGCAAGACATCACCCTGGGAGATAATGGATTGATGACATGAAAGATCTTCATCAAAACAAAATGGCAGTAGCTATTGCTTTTGATTAAGCAGTGGATCGCAAACATAATCTTCTTTGTTCACCCAAAGATGTAATTGCGTTGTGTTACTTTACAGCACAGCTGCAATATTTGCACCTTTTGATCAGCACATACAACTTCTGCAGGCACTTGTTGACCTGGTTAGCCTTCCAGTTAGTTTTGTGGGACATTGAAGTCTCATAATGATGAGGTCATCTTTGTTTCTCATGTCACATGTGGTGCCCCCATTTCGGGCTGGTCAAGAGAAGCCACGTAATGCTGATCAGCCCTATAAGTTGTATAATTTCATGACCATCGAGTACTGTGGTTCGTTTCCCTGGATGGGTACAAATTTAGTCTCATGGTTTTCGGACAATGGTATGAGAGTCGCACCATGGAAGAGATTAGGGCCTCACCAGGTAATATTCCCAAAGAGAACAGTAATACACTGTAGCCACCCTCCATTGTGGAGACTGCACCGAACTTGAATAAGTTGTATGTTCTGATTTTCTCCTACTTTATCACGATATCAGCGCCTATAATTTCTGATTGGTTATTTGAGGCCACAGATATTTCACTGCTTGATATTGTGTTTTGAATATTAGAACTCCTCCCATGTGCCCTTCTCAGTCTCATAGCGGACAGCTTGATATCCTCTGAGAATCTGTGATGGACGTTGAGGTGTGTCTCTTGGATATGCACCACTTGTTTTGTTTTCATAAAGACGTTTTGCTAGAGATATTTTGTCTGTAAGACTCCTTCAGCGTTCCACTGTAGTATGTTGAGTGTGTCCTGAATGGTATATCAATGTTTTTACACTAATGCCCTATGCCTTGATTACATTTGAGGCAAGGGGCGTGGCACTATCTCTGCCTGGCGGGGCTCCACAAGATTAGCACCATATCGGTACATTTTCATTTGTAATCTAGTTTTTTAGTGAGTTAATTTTCAGTTTTTTTCTCTCATGCAGTCAAAGGGGAAAAAAATTGTTTCTTTACCAGTGAAATATCGTATCATTGCAGAAAACTCTTGTTTGAGGACGGTGTGTAACTGGTGGTGAAATGATCACCTCTTGTTTGAGGTCGGTGTGTAACTGGTGGTGAAATGATCACCTCTTGTTTGAGGTCGGTGTGTAACTGGTGGTGAAATGATCACCTCTTGTTTGAGGTCGGTGTGTAACTGGTGGTGAAATGATCACCTCTTGTTTGAGGTCGGTGTGTAATGGGGTGGTGAAATGATCACTCTTGTTTGAGGTCGTTGTGTAACTGGTGGTGAAATGATCACCTCTTGTTTGAGGTCGGTGTGTAACTGGTGGTGAAAATGATCACCTCTTGTTTGAGGTCGGTTGTGGTAACTGGTGGTGAAATGATCGGCCTCTGTGTTGGAGGTCGGTGTGTAAACTGGTGGTGAAAATGATCCACCTCTTGTTTGAGGTCGGTGTGTTCGCCCCGTGGGAAATTTTCGGTGGTGAAATGATCACCTCTTGTTTTGAGGTCGGTGTGTAAATGTGGTGAAAATGATCACCTCTTTGTTTGAGGTCGGTGTGTAACTGGTGGTGAAATGATCACCTCTTGTTTGAGGTCGGTGTGTAACTGGTGGTGAAATGATCACCTCTTGTTTGAGGTCGGCTGTGTAACTGGTGGTGAAATGATCACATCTTGTTTGAGGTCGGTGTGTATAATGGTGGTGAAAATGATCACCTCTTGTTTGAGGTCGGTGTGTAACTGGTGGGTGAAATGATCACCTCTTGGGTTGAGGGTCGGTGTGTAATGGTGGTGAAAATGATCACCTCTTGTTTGAGGTCGGTGTGTAAACTGGTGGTGAAATGATCACCTCTTGTTTGAGGTCGGTTGTGTAACTGGTGGTGAAATTGATCACCTATCTGTTGAGGTCGGTGTGTAACTGGGTGGTGAATGATCACCTCTTGTTTGAGGTCGGTGTGTAACTGTGGTGAAATGATCACCTCTTGTTTGAGGTCGGTGTGTAACTGGTGGTGAAATGATCACCTCTTGTTTGAGGTCGGTGTGTAACTGGTGGTGAAATGATCACCTCTTGTTTGAGGTCGGTGTGTAACTGGTGGTGAAATGATCACCTCTTGTTTGAGGTCGGTGTGTAACTGGTGGAAAATGATCACTCTGTGTTTGAGGTCGGGTGTAAAATGGGGGTGAAATGATCACCTCTTGTTTGAGGTCGGTGTGTAAACTGGTGGTGAAATGACACCTCTTGTTTGAGAGTTCGGTGTGTAACTGGTGGTGAAATGATCACCTCTTGTTTGAGGTCGGGTGTGTAACTGGTGGTGAAATGATCACCTCTTGTTTGAGGTGCGGTGTGTAACTGGTGGTGAAATGATCACCTCTTGTTTGAGGTCGGTGTGTAACTGGTGGTGAAATTACACACTCTTCGTTTGAGGTCGGTGTGTGTAACTGGTGGTGAAATTACCACCTCTTGTTTGAGGGTCGGTGGTGTAAAATGGTGGTGTGAAATGATCACCTCTTGTTTGAGGTCGGTGTGTAACTGGTGGTGAAATGATCACCTCTTGTTTGAGGTCGGTGTGTAACTGGTGTTGAAATGATCACCTTAGTGCTAGAGACTGCTAATGTATTGTGGCTTGTAATTCTGGTGTCATGGTCGTCACTGGGGCTGCAACGTCTTTTTGTGGCTGAAGAAAAGGATGTAGCGGTCGCTTTTCTGGCCCTCCCTGATTTTGATCTCTCCTATTGGTGAGTTAATTTTTTACATTTTTTCCTCTCGTGCATCTCTTGAGGATAAATATGTAAGTTGTTTCTTTGCAAAGTTATTTTGCTGACTGAAATACTGTATCATCGCAGGAAACTCTTTGTTTGAGGTCGGCGTGTTGCTTTTTTATTTTGTCCGTGGTGACCACTTGTTTGGTGATATGACTGGCATTGAATGTACCATTGGAGGCATTGTGTTGGAAACTGCCCATACTGGTGATGAAATGACTGGCATTGAATGTACCATTGGAGGCATTGTGTTGGAAACTGCCCATACTGGTGATGAAATGACTGGCATTGAATGTACCATTGGAGGCTTTGTGTTGGAAACTGCCCATACTGGTGATGAAATGACCACCTTAGTGCAAGAAACAGCAGCTGACATTGTGGCTTGTAATTCTGCTGTTATGGTCGTCACTGGGGCTGCAACGTCTTTTTGTGGCTAGAGATAAGGATGTAGCATCACCTTTGTGGCTGTCCCTGTTTGTGATCTTGTCTATTAGTGAGGTAATTTTTAGTTTTTTTCTTTCGTGCTGTCCAGAAAAAAATGTGCACATTTTTTCTTTACAAAGTTATTTTGCTGACTGAAATATCGTATCGTGGCAGAAAACTCTTGTTTGAGGTCGGCATGTAGCTTTTTTATATTGTCCTTGGTGGCCATATTTGTGGTGATATGGCTGGAACTGAATGTACCATTGTAGGCATTATATTGAAAACTGCCGATACTGGTGGTGAAATTACCACCTCTTGTTTGAGGTCGGCATGTAGCTTTTTTATATTGTTTTTAGCTTTGCTCTCCAACATGTCCTGTACTGTAGCTCCTTGTAAAAGAGATGTGTCTGTTTTTACTTAGCTACACTTACTGAGACTGCGACCTATGGGGTTATCATGTGCCATGGGAATAAACAGGTGGTTATAGTTGACTGTCTCACATGATTATCAGAATGATGGACCAGGTTACTGTTCTTGTCCCACCCAGGCTATGTGGTCAGATTATTTAGGGATTTGTTTACCACCGTTTGCACATGATCGCTTATATTTAAAAAAAATGTAAAATATGAACCAGGCCAAATGTAATTAAGATGTGAATTTATGGTCTCACAAACCTTTATCACGTGCTTACCAAAATATTTCTTCATGTTTTTTAAAAAGATTTTTATGATCTCTTGTCATATCAATGTTACATGAAGCTACTTGTCATTTATTGTATTTTAAAAAGTCATTTTTCGTTGTTTAAAATCAGAATCTTAAATAATTTTAAACACATGCTGTAAAACATTTGCTATTATAAAAACACAAAAACTAACAGACATGTGTGTATTTATGTTGATTTCTTAAAGTTTATGCTGTGTGACGTTGGTAGTCATGATAGTCCGCAACCTTCTGTCTCAAACAATGTCAGTCATATTTGACCCAGATTTTCTTCCATGCCATGATGCCAAACTGTCCAATAGCCTCTACATCTCTTTCTGTCTTTTTTTTTTTTTAATTTCACTTAAATTAGAATAAGCTCCTCTGTTATGAACTATTCTTTTTTCCTTCTTTGTTTATTCTGTCCCTTATCTCCCAGTAGAGCCTGCAACAAAAGAAACCCTTCCAGTATGAAAAATTGTACTTTAGTTCTCAGGCACAAATGCTTTCATTATGAAGAATTGTACTTTAGTTCTCAGGCACAAAGCTTTCAGTAAGAAGAATTGTACTTTAGTTCTCAGGCACAAAGCTTTCAGTATGAAGAATTGTACTTTAGTTCTCAGGCACAAATGCTTTCATTATGAAGAATTGTACTTTAGTTCTCAGGCACAAAGCTTTCAGTATGAAGAATTGTACTTTAGTTCTCAGGCACAAATGCTTTCATTATGAAGAATTGTACTTTAGTTCTCAGGCACAAAGCTTTCAGTATGAAGAATTGTACTTTAGTTCTCAGGCACAAAGGCTTTCAGTATGAAGAATTGTACTTTAGTTCTCAGGCACAAAGCTTTCAGTATGAAGAATTGTACTTTAGTTCTCAGGCACAAAGGCTTTCAGTATGAAGAATTGTACTTTAGATCTTCAGAACAGATGTCCTCAGCGTGAAGAACAAACTCTTTCAGTATGAGAACTGTGCATTAGTTCCCGAGAACAAATTCCCTTAGTATGAAGAAAATACTGTAGTTTTCAAGAATAAACTACTTCAATGTGAAGAACTATACTTTACCTCTACAAAGCAGTTCCCCCCATCATGATAAACTGCAAATCTTCCAAACAACAGATTCCTTCACTGTGAAGAGCTACACTGTTTATTCTCCTGAACACTGGTGATGTAGATAATAACCGTTTAACCATGACTATGTTTTTATATTTATCTTCAGTGCAATCGGTGGTTTAACGCTTGTAAAGTTTTGTCTAATGTATAAAATGGCATTTTCTGAACCCCCTTTTTTTGGGATTATGTTTAAATCTGTTTAACACAAGTGCAATCTTCTGTGTCTGTTGGGAGCCACAGGCTGGTGGCTTTCATTTAAATGTTTTCTTCTTATGTCTCATTACATTATTTTCTGGGGGGAAGGGGGCAATATGACGCTCTGTTTTATGCCATCTTTATTCTTTCCTGTAGGGTTTGGTGGCCCCCCCCCCCCCCCCCATCACCCACGCCCCCACTTTTTTTTTTAAGTCTGAAAGATGTATCTTTCCGTAGTTTAAAAAAAAAAAAATCAAAACGACCTAATTCATCTGTCTTTCTTTCTGTGAAATATTTTAATCAGAAAGGCTTTCCAGTACTTTCTTTTTTATTCACCCCAATGAAAGGGAAAAGAGGGAATTCCCGGGACAGTTCATTATTCTAGGGGTGTTGTAGGTTGTTTATATAATGTGCAAATACTTTGCATGCACCCTGTGGACAAACTCTGCAACTTTGCATGCACCCTATGGACAAACTGTGTAACTATGTGTGCATCTGTGGACAAACTGTGCAACATTGTAAATTCTGTGCAGTGTGGAATGAATGAGAATTGGGAGTATTTTGTGAGCCCTCAGTAGGGCTATTTGGGTGGGGGGGGGGGGGGAATCTGAAAAAGGCTAGTCTCCATGTACGCTGCTGGGTTTACAAGTCTGCAATCACAGTTTGACACACTAGTAGATCTGGAGATATCAAACACAGCAACTGTTGTGCCAGGCCCTGTGTGTGCTTTACACATTAGTAGATCTGGAGATATCAAACACAGCAACTGTTGTGCCAGGCCCTGTGTGTGCTTTACACATGAGTAGATCTGGAGATATCAAACACAGCAACTGTTGTGCCAGGCCCTGTGTGTGCTTTACACATGAGTAGATCTGGAGATATCAAACACAGCAACTGTTGTGCCAGGCCCTGTGTGTGCTTATAAACGGCTGAAGCGTCACTGCTGTTCTGCCTGGTACATTGAGTATGATGCACTCCTCTGTGTTATAACAGATACACCTAATACAGCTGCTCAGATTTTAATCCCCCTCCCCCCTCCTGTCCGATCTCTTTTAGTAAAGCAGTTTATTCTTGATGTGTTAGTTCTTGGTGTGTGTGTGTTAGTCCTTGGTGTGTCTGTTCTTGGTGTGTCTGTTCTTGGTGTGTCTATTCTTGGTGTGTCTGTTCTTGGTGTGTCTGTTCTTGGTGTGTCTGTTCTTAGTGTGTCTGTTCTTGTTGTCCCACAGTCGAGCCCTGGAGCCCCGTACCCACATGGGGAAGTTGTTTCTTGTTTCCATCTATTTTACATTTCTGTTGTTTTACTCTTCAATATTTAAATGACAAACATTTGACATCTGAAACCAGTGTTTTCAAAGTATTGTTTTTGTTGTCATTAATATATCACAATGATGTCTTTCTATAAATTTGTGCAGTTTATTTGTTGTTGTTGTTGAGGCAACCGACAAGCTGTGCATGATTATGTGACAGTTTGAAAAATTTTCTTTTTAGAAAGATGATGTAATATTTGTTATAATTGTTTTCAGTTGTTGTAATAATTATTATAGTCAGTCACTTATGTTACAGTTTAATTAATATTATTTGTAAATTTTATATGTTTAGTTTCAGGTAAGTATATTTGTTGTAAGGTAATAGTTGGTAAAAGTAATGGAATAATGATTATATAACTTCTCATTGTAATTATTATACAACTTCTCATTGTTAGAATACTGCACATTTGTGTATGTGTGTACAACAGTTAGTAGAAGTAGTGGGATCATTAGTTTAAAAAATCTCATTGCAATAGTTGGTAGGAGTAAGGGATTAATTATTGTAGACACTTTCTTCGTTGTTATTAACAGTGACACATATATTACATGTAACAGTCATTATAAGTAATGGAATTATTATTGTAGAAAATATCATCATTAACTTAACTTAATGAATTTGTGACATGCACGGTAACAGAAGAAGTGATGGAATCCATATTATAGAAGATCACCTCTGTTGTAGAATCATTTTTACAAATATTGCAACATTAGTTACATGTAAAGTAAAAATTGGTAGAAACAAAAAATTTAATATTTTTTAAAGAAAATCTCACTATACTAATTATATGACATTTGTTACATGTAAAGTAACAGTTGGTAGGAATACGTGGACTAATTATTATAAAAAATCTCATGACTAATAGTATGAAACTTGTTACATGTAAGCTAACAGTTGGTAGGAAAACATGGACTAATCATTATAGCAAATCTCATGACTAATAGTATGACATTTGTTACATGTAAGCTAACAGTTGGTAGGAAAACATGGACTAATCATTATAGCAAATCTCATGACTAATAGTATGACATTTGTTACATGTAAGCTAACAGTTGGTAGGAAAACATGGACTAATCATTATAGCAAATCTCATGACTAATAGTATGACATTTGTTACATGTAAGCTAACAGTTGGTAGGAAAACATGGACTAATCATTATAGCAAATCTCATGACTAATAGTATGACATTTGTTACATGTAAAGTAACAGTTGGTAGGAAAACGTGGACTGATTATTATAGAAAATCTCATTATAACTAATAATGCAACATTTGTTCCAGATGGCCAAATCTTGATGATAGTTTATGTGACTTGTGTTCCAACTGTGAA